TTGGCTCTTTTTCTGGCAATGTCCTATTGCCAGCAGGGGAAGTTCAGCTTAACAGTGGCAACAGCTGCAAAAACCTTCAGCTGGGTTCAGCAGCAGGAAGTTCTCGTGGCTTCGGCGGTGTCACTGAAACATCATGAGCCCTTAAATTACATTTTGGTCTGCAACAATCAGAAAATAGAAAGTGCACTTGACTCATATATTGGAAAGAGACCCAGTTATAGCTGTATTTGCTCAAAAAAAGTAAAGTTTTAGGCACTATTAATGTGTCAATGCATTCTTCCTGTCTGCATTCATAAACAGGAGCTGCTGTTTATAAAAGATTTTATTTTGTTAGCTGTTGTTTATTTTAATTTGATCAACTGGAGAAGAGTGAGACATAAAATTTTAATGTATGAAATATACCTCTCTCCTCATTTGCTCTTCTTTTTGTCTTTTCCCTCTTTTTTTCTGCTTTTTCATCTTTTTTCTCTTTTTCCTTCTCATAATGAATTTCCTGGTAGCATTTAGGTATATTTTACATTCATATTTAATAAATATGAAAAAACTGACCCAGATTCTGAAATCATAGACAATGCCTTTTAACAGAAATAATGAATAAGCTGAATGTTACCAACAAAATACTATACCTATAAATATCTTTAGTAATTACTTGTGTGTAAGCTACTCATTTGTACGGTTCAGTTTCAGATAAAGTAGAAAATTGCTGGCAAATGAACATACGCAATCTAAAGACTAAAAATTTTCAGTAACTTCAGTAAAATAAAATGTATCTGTTTTCTAATTTCAGTGCTGTGAAGTAGGAGTAGTTTTAAAAAAAGCAACAAAGGATATGTCAACTTTAGATTGTGTAGTGTACTTGTCCTCTGACAAATTACAGTAAAATCAAAGACCAAGGAGTTTATATATGAATAAGTAAAAAAAGACACACTGATATAATTTAAGGTTTAACATGATTTTTCTTGCTTTTACCTGCAGTTTAGAGCAGAACCTAATCTTCTCCAGTAAAGTAGGATTTGATCAGAAGTATGCAGTGGTGACAGTAGCCAGTGATTCTTGCTGGGAAGAAAAGTGCTCAGGCAGAATATGTGCTTGGTAAAATTGTATTTTATCAATCAGATTGAGGCTGTCAATGAGTTTGCATGCAAGCTGCTCACAGTGTGGCAGAGGTTGATAGTTAGGCAGGGCACCTCCTTGAAAAGCTGTCTCTCCTCACTTGGGGTTCAGCTCACAGATACTGAATATGCTGAAACTCATCCTGGGAGCTGTGGCATCTCTGAAAGTGTGGAGACTTTCTCAAGAAGATATACCACTATTAAATGCTTTAGAAAGAGGCTTAGTTTAGCTGAAATTTCCTTTTAGTTTTGGAAACTTGGCTTGCATTATTTTGCAGTTTAAGTTCCTTCAAGTTAAGTGGATATTTTGACTGCATGCAGACTGTAACACTCATCCCTTCAGGAAGTACAGATTCTCTCAAATAGCATTTTCATTTAAAACCATAAGGCCTGAGTTCTCTGAAGTATTTTGCTTCTCAGAAAAATCTCTATATTTTAAAAATACACTGGCATAGAGGGAAGGTCTCTCCCTATACATTATGTTGTTGCATTGTACATGAGCTTGATGTGCGTGCAAGTAGAGATATTCTGTACTGGTAGAGAAAATGCAAAGTACTTAATTCAGTAATTTGCATTTTGATAGTACTCACTAGTGAGCATTACAGCTGCCTGCTGGAGATGGCTTCCACAGCAAATAGTACTTTGAAGCAGTGAAGTGAAATCTATAGCAAACAGCTCAGGAAGAGAATAAAAATAGGGATGAAAGGGTAAGTGGGTCTTGTCACTCACAGAGGAACAGATATAACATGGGAAGTGAAAAGGATGACCACAGTGTTCCTGCAAGGAGTATGCCTTCACAGTTCCCCCATGAGATGCATATATTAATGTAGGTAGGGGATTTTAGGAAGGAAATGCATGAATAGAAAAAATCAGATTTTTAATTTCTTTGTATTGCCTTTGGAGGAAAGAAGGGTTAAATACTTTGCTTCAGATTGAAGCAGTTTGACGTACTTCACTGCACTGTAAGAGTATTAGAGATTAAGTAAATATTAGTTCATATCAATTTATAACAGTGCAACCACTATAGCACGTTTGGGATGAAAGATTCAACCTTCAAATCTTAACATTTAAGCTTCTGGATTCAGTGACTTCCATGCAAAACAGTGGGCTTTCCCTGTAATTTAATTCTATACCTGAATTTTGCTATTGCAACAGTGATTAATGACACAAGCAGTGCAGCCAAAACAATGCTAGGATGAGCCAATGAATCTCCCATTCTTGGGAAGAAGTAAAGTTACACGATAGCAAGCAAGGTCTTTTTGATTAGACAAAATTTTTATTTTGTCAAATTGAGTTCCATAGCAATAGACTACACCCACAGAATGTGTATCTGATATTTAGATATAATATTTTACTTGCTTATCCTGATATCCAAAAAGAACTTTGTCCAAACTTCTAATAATAAAAATAACAATATCAGCATCCTGTGTAGCAACAAGTTGATGTAAATGTCACAACCTATAAAACATACCATGTATGTTCTGGTAATATGATAAAGTAAATTCTTTTTTTCTGTGGGTTTATGAGCTGTGTTGAGCTTACACACAATATGTTTTAATTTATGCCATTTGATTTGTACTTTAGGAAAAGACCATGTGATGCACAGAAGTTTTTATGTTAAGTGGTCCCTTTTATTTGAATACTGCCAAGTAAAGCTAGGGAGTAGTGTAGTGATGCTCTTATGCAGTGATGCTCTTACCTGCTGTGCTTGGGGCTCACTGGAGCCACAGATGTGGAATGAGATAGGTGATATGATCCATGTGTAAAGGTCTGTAGGAATAGCTGTAGCACAGTGGTGATGAACAGCACAGTGCTGGGAACACCAGTCCTCATGCTCTGAGTCACTTCAGTCTCAGGCATCTCCCACTAATTTGTTAGTTGTTTGTTAAATCCTTTTTTTCATAGCTTTCTTTTCTGAAACCAGTGGAAAAAATAACAGATCACATAATTCAAGTTCTTTAGGGCATGCTATAGCAAAGAACCCATGAATGAGGTAGCATAAAATAAATAATAATAGCATGACTTAAGAGTTAAGTTAGAATGCGTTGAAAAAGAAGTTCAGCAGTACAGTATTTAGATTTCTTCTGGCAAAAAAAATATCTAATCCAAAGAACAGAGCCTTGGTGTGTAATTAGATTGCTGCCAGAGAAATGCATATTGTTTGCTGCAGTTCATGCTGATTTCTTTAGAGAATTTGTTAAAATTTTGAACGATGAACAAAGATGTGTTGAATGAAAATGCATGTAAGATTTAGGAGATATGGAAGAAATTGAATCATCCTGATTTTAAAGGAGCAGAAACAAAACTGCCTGCTTAAACACAGGTTTTCAGAAGGCAGTTGACATACAAAGCTGCCCACTGCACATTCTAGGACTGTAATGACCACTGGTAATGTATTTCCAGCAACTTAGTGGCAAGATATGAGGTCCTAATACCCCTTTATGAAAGGTAGAGACAGAGCCAAATAAACACTTACATGATGATTATAGAGAATACTCTATAAAACTCTAGTGAAATAGCAACAGGAGCAACCATCTCTGGGCATTTAAAAGTTCCTACTGTGCAGATCCTTGCTCTCCCAAGTGTTTCGTGACCTACAGCACCACCCTGCCTTCTTAAATAAAAGCAGCAGCTGCTCCACACAAATCCCAGATCCCCTGTTTGTAGCAGCAGAGATGTGTCTAAGACAGTGCTTGACAATGTTTTTCTCTTGTGATGTTATGTTACAGTACTAATTCAAATGTAATAAAGCCCAGGAGGTTCTCTTTTCTCAAAATTATGTCCTCAGTTAGAAATCATTATCAAAAATATTTGATATCTAAAAAATTGTCTCCTACTTATCTTATATTCACATTGTGCTTAATACAATTATTTCCTTACAAAGTGAAGATCTACAGGTGTGTGAGCTAAGCACAACAGCTCTTGAGACCAGCAGTGAAAATTCTTTTCTCTCTTACCAATCTTCTGACCGGATTCCAAGGAACAGTATCCCTCAATGTGAGCATATCAGGACTCGTGGACACTTTTTTGGTACTCAGTGGATAAAAAGTTTCAGCCATATATTCACTGAGTACTCAAAGTGCACAGCTAGTCAGAGTAATAAAATTGTGAGGGCCAGGGTGGCAGGAGCAGGCACTATATTAATGTTATATCATGAATTTATGTTTGCAGAGCACTTTGCAGGCGAACTCCAGCTCCTCTCAGCTGAGCCGTGTATCACCTTGGGTGTGCTCATACAATCTGCCTATGTCAAATAACCCCTGGAGCTGCAGCCCAACATCTTAGAAATATGGACAGCCCCAGACGGAGCTTCCTCACATTCTCCTGCAAAACACAGTACAGACCAACTTGAAGTGAATTCTTTTTGAAACCTCACTAAGGAAAAAAAGTTTTGTAGATGACAAAGCATGTGCATTTACAGTGAAAGGGTAAAGAAGCTAGATCTTGAGACAAGACAGGAGTTGAGAAACAGATAAAATGACAGGGCAGCACAGTGGATCACTGTGATAACTGTGATTATTATAGTTTGTTATTACAAATTATAATAGAGACACACAGCTGGCTATTTTCTTACACTTATTCTCCATAAGGCAGGAGGGAGTTGATTATGTACTACTTAACATTGCTGCATCCTTGTGTCAACCAGCAGCTGTAGGAAATAAATCTGTAATTTTTGAATCTTCATCAATGTGCTTCTACTGTTCTTCTGTGCTAAACTTATTGTCTGTGTGTAATAATCTAATCTACTCATATCATGACCATCTGAGTCTTCCTATAAATCATATGAATAACAGGTTTAAAACTAGAAAAATTCCCTTTCAAAAATATTTCTTTCTTCTCTTTCTTTTCAGGTGTTTTTCCAAGAATAAGCCCTAAACTCTGTTACCCATGGATGCTGCAGAGTTCCGCAAGAGAGGGAAGGAGATGGTGGACTATGTGGCGGATTACCTGGAGAAGATAGAGAAACGCCAGGTGTTCCCAGATGTGGAACCAGGATACCTACGGCCCCTCATTGCAGACTGTGCTCCCCAGGATCCCGAGAGCTTTGAGGATGTCTTTAAGGACATTGAGAAGATCATTATGCCAGGGGTAAGAGAAATGGAACTGTAGTGCAATGTTCAACACTGCATTCAGGTTTTCAAACACCTTAAAGAAAGTGTGGGTTTGCCAACATAAATACCCACACTGATTAACTTTTAGAAGGCAGGAGTCAGCTTTACATGATCTAACTAATGTTTTCCATTTTTCCTAGAAATAATCAAATAATTCTTGTGCTTCATGCATGGTTTACTTTTGAAAATAATTCCTTTTCCTCCCTTGAACTGGTTAAAGCAAAACTTCATAACTTTCAGTTTCATGTGATATTTTTACTACTTTCATAGCACAGTAAATATTTTACAAAATAGTGTTTTTATTAGTCTGCTGTGCCTAAAGTGTTTCTTCAAGCTGATCTTTAAATGTTAAAATTCTCTTAGGAGACTTCTTTTATTAGAGTTGACTAGAAAGGATTCTTCCCAATACTTGTTCTGTTGACTTACTCTCCTAAATGTCAACTACTTCTCATAGCTTCTAAGGCAGACCACCACTGCCTAAATATTAGTCCTTGAGTAGTTCAGTATTGGACAGACAATGCAGAACTGTTGGCAAAGCATCTGGCATTTGTTCAGCCCTGAAGTTTTCTTGTTTTTCCACTCATGGTGCACCTTTTTTATTTTAAATATGTACTTGTCTCCTTAGGCCTCTAAATAGCTTGAAGAGAACTGAATTATTAGTAAAAGTTAATGAGGAATCTCTCCTTTGGATCTCCTCAATAAGCACTTTGGATTTCTTCTCTAGATGCAGCTAGGTGATATGATTGTGATGGGACTGGACACCACAATCAAATTGACTTTAGTCAGTGTACTATGATGCCAATTCCTTTCCATTGACCAATGTAAATATTTGATATTCAGTATGATTTTATCTTGTTTTCCTTGGAGACAGCCAGCTTTACTTTAACAGGCAAAAGCTCCACTGAAGTCAATTGAAACCTTTGCACTCTTTTCAAAGATTTGATGATGAAGTCTTAAATCCAAGGGGATTAAATCAATGCAGATTAGATAAGAGAATTATGTCCAACACGTGCAAATATTTTAATTGCTGCTCATAGATATAATTGCCTTTTCTTTTTCATTGGAGGAAAATAGTAATGTCTGTGAAGTAGAAGAGAAAATACTTTGAACACCTGAGAACTTTCAATAAAATAATAATGCATTAAAAAATAAGAGATGAATCACTCTAGAGTAGAAAGTGAGACATTGAATTCCAATTATGTCATCAGCATGTCATGTTCTCTCTTAACTACATTGACTTCTCTTGATATTTACGTGCCCAGCAAACAAATTTACTTTTGTTTGCAAAAACAAAAGTATCAGTCACAAAGTAATACATTCTGAAGAAAAATTGTTCTATCCTAAATTTTTCCACTGGTGTGAAATGTTAGTGACACAAAGAGCACAATATAAATCCCAGTTCTTATAGTAATTCTGATTCTACCCATGCTGCTTATACTTAATTCCAGAGACACACTTGGGCACAGAACCACGGGGTCCTGTATAGTAGAGATTGGATGGTATCTCAGGATCATTTAGTCCATCCCCTCTGCTCAAACATGAGTCAGCTAGAGCAGGTTGTTCAGGACTATGTCCTGCTGGTCACTGAATATCTCCAAGGATGAACTCTGCTGTCCTGTGATCACCCTCACAGTAAAAAAGCTTTTTTTAATGTTTAAGTGGAATTTTCTCTATTTCAGTTTGTGCACATTTTTTATTGTCTTGTCACTGGGTACTTCTGAGAAGAATCTGTCTTCATATTGTTTACACCTTCCTGTGAGGTGTTTATACACATGAACAAGGTACCTCCTGAACTTCCTGCAGGCTGAACAACCCCAGCTCTTTCAGACACTTGTCACATCACAGATACAGCAATTAATCATCTCCATGGTCTTTCCCTGGAATCACTCCAGCATGTCTTTGTTCCTTGTACTGGAAAACCCAGAGCTGAATGCAGCATTCCAGGTGTGGCCTTTCCAGTGCTGCATAGAAGGGAAAGATCAACTCTTTTCACCTTCTGGCAGCAGTTTTGATACCCTGGCCCACAGAATGCTCTTGGGTCACAGTGCTTGCTGCCAGGATGCATTGCTGGCTCATATTCAGCTTGGCCACCAGGATCCCCAGGTCTTCCTGGGGGATTCCTTCCCCAATTTATTCCGAGCTGCTTGCCAGCCAGTCAATCCTTGCTCTCAATGGAGCAGGAGGTTATTTCTCACCAGGTACAGGCTTTTGCATTTCTTGAGTCAACTTCATGGGATTCCTGTTGGCCCATTCTGCAGGCAGTTAAGGTCCCTTTGAATTGCAGCATGACCACACAGTGTATCAAACACTCCTCCCAGTTTTATGTCATCTGCAACATTGCTGAGGGTGCACTCTATCCCATATCAAGGTATTTAATGAAGTACTGGCCTTTGCCTTTCATTCTTCATGTGACCTATCCTTGAACACTTCAGGGATGAAGCACTCACAACCTGCCTGGGCAGGTGTTTCAGTGCCTCACCACCCTCACAGTAAAGAACTTTTTTTCCAAATGTGTAATCTAAACCTATTCTCAATTTAAAGTAATTCCCTCATGTCCTATCACTACATGCCCTTGCAAAACGTCTCTCTCCGTCTTTCTTGTAGGCTCCCTTTAGGTACTGGAAGGCCACAGTTAGATCACCCCAAAGCCTTCTCTTTTCCAGGCTGAGCAATCCCAATTCTCTTGGCCGTTCTCACAGGAGAGGTGCTCCATTCCTCTGATCATCTTGATATCCCTCCTCTGGACTCGTTCCAATAGGTCAATGTCCTCCCTTATTCTGGGGATCCTAGAGCGGGACACAGCAGTCCAGGTGGGGTCTCACCAGAATGGAGGAGAAGGTCAGAATCCCCTCCTTTCCCCTGCTGCCCACGCTGCTTTGAATGCAGGCCAGGGCACTGCCTTCACCACTTCTTTCCTGTTGGTAAATGTGCAGTCCCACACCCTGTCCCACATTTTTGTCAGCTCCTCCACAGTTTCCTGTGTTAGGTAATTATCAATGCACTCCAGAACCCTCCTGTGTCCTGCTGTGTTGTCTGTCCAGCAGATATGAGAACTATGACCTGTGAACATGAAGTTTCTTCCAGCTGTCTGAATGCTGCACTCATGTGCTTCTGATCAGGTGGTCTGTAGCAGATGCACACCCCCAAATATTGCCCATTTTGATATCTTCACCAGTCCTGACTCACAAGTTCTTGACTGGCTCATTGTCCATTCTTAGGCAGAGACCAGTGCATTCCTGCTGTTCTCTTACATAAAGGACCCTCCTCTGCCTCGCCTTCCTGGTCTGACCTTCCTGAAGGGCCTGTCCTCATCTGCTGCAGCACTTCAGTCATGCAAGCAATCCCACAGCATCTCTGTGATCCCAGTGAAATCACAGCCCTGTACCTGCACTCAGCCTTCTCTTTCCTTCTGTTTGTTCCCCATGTGTTGTGCACAGCTTATAGGTGCTTCAGAGAGGCACCCATTTGTCTTGATTCCCCAGAAAAGATGTGACAGCTCCTCTGTCTTGCCCCTGCCCTAATGCTACCCTCTTAGCACTTCCTATTTTATGTAGATACACTGGGGATCAGTCTGCTTTAGCCTTAGCTTCTTTCTGAGTTCTCTCGTCCCTTTGCTTGCCAGCTTGGTCCATCTTCCTCCCTTGGCTGTGGTTTCCTCTCCTTCCCTCATCATTCCTAGTTTACAGCTCTCCTTACCAGGTTATTCAGCCAGTCTGCAAAGATATTTTTGCCCTAATTGTTCAGGTTATATTTTCCCTAATTGTTCAGGTTATATTTTCCCTTAATCTTCTTCCTGTGTTTTTCCTGACAAGAATAACATTTAAAAGTACATCTAATGTTTTTCATCTATAGGCTTTACCCACTGTTTGACCAGGGAATGTCTTAAATCCATTTTATAAATGAAGAACTTCAGAAAGGGCTTTTTCAGAAAGAATAAGTAATATTACATATCATAAACCCTTGTTTTGTCTGTAAGCTGTTGATGGCCAGCAAGTGATTCTTGTTTCATTTATGTTGACATCTTTACTGTGTTAGTTGTGTTCAGATATTTGCTACTTATTGTATGACTAAAAATGTGAAAACAGTGTTCCTTCAGAAGGGCAGGGATCAATTAATTGTGTGAAGTGATAATGATGCAGTATTTATTGCTGTCTTCACCCTGTAGGAGAAAAGAATTTGTGAGTAGTGAAATTTCTTTATGGAGAAGACTTACTGTGAAATGTAAGGTAGACCTTCAAAGGGCAGCCCACCCAATGATAATGACAATAACGGCACTAGGTTCCTGATTTTAACACAGAGACAGAGGGAATAACTTCAGAACTCTGATCTCCACAGCAGGCAGACAGTAGGAAAGGATCTGCATGTAAAAATATCAGTCACCTTTCCCTCTCAGATTTGCTTTGCTGTCTTTCTCTTTTAGAGCTAAAAATGATCAAGTGTAGTTGTAACTGGAAATAGTGGTACTCAAGATACTAATTTTCCTCACATTGGATCCATTAATCTATGAACTTTCAGCTGAAGTACCTATCCTCAGAATGTGGTAAAGGAAGACTCTTGCTTACACCGAGCAAGCCAGAGAAAGACATCCTTAGAAGAAATCTTGGAAATAGGATGTCTCTGAGAAGCACTAGAGTGGTAATTAGAGTGAACCCAAGACATTTGTATATCATTATTTATCAGCAGAGGGCAAAAAAAAAAAACAGGCATCAATTATGTCAGGCTCTTTGTAATATCTGACTAAGTGTATCTGTTCCAACATAGTGAAAAAAAAAGAATTTTACAGCTGCTTCAAGGGACGGGGGAAGGGGAGGCAGGAGGAAGAAGCGCAGCTGTACTTGCCCCAGGGCTTTTAGCTTTTTTGCTTTGTGTGAGTGGTGCAACTGGAATCTGCTGTGTTTCATCAAGCAAATGGCTCCCAGCAAACAGTCAGTTTAACTTGATTAACCTAAGATGAATGTCACAACTCTTACAGATCACAGAGGATTAGAGCTGGGGAGATGAACAGCCAGGCAGCCCTGGCTCATTACGGACATCAGTGAAAGTCTGTGTGTGTGGATCCTATCAGGGACCACTGCTTCTTTAATATTTTATTGTTTTCCTCTGGAGAACCACATCCCATCTTGGGTGTTTTTCTGATTTCTGAAGGAAGACATTTGCCACAAGATCTCTAAAACTTTGTTACAGCAAAGAAGGATATCCCGACCAAATGTGAGATACAGCTGAAGAGGTTCGCAGTGGCTTGTCTTTGGATAACTGATTTGACAGGTTTCAACCCAGTGACCATTAATAATGAAATCTTGAACATAGCAGGTACAGGGCTAGTTTAGACAGTGGAAAATTGTAATGGATAGGAGGTGTTTTCATGTGAAAGAGATAGGCACATTTGAAATTGGTACACTGCAGCAGGGAAAGTGATACCTGATTCATTCTGTCAAGAGTTAAGGCCGTTTCCCCTTGGCATGGACCACATCCCTTAAAGAAGAGCTGGTTGTTGGCATGAGGAAGGTTAGAAGATTAAAGAAACAGACTATTTGCAGCATGCAGTACTGTGTGGTGCAGCAATCCCTGAGTTAGCTCTAGAACCAGAAACCTTGTCACAGACTGGGAGAGAGGAGTGTAAGAGCTAAAATTCATCAGAGAATGAATGTGGAACAAAACAGCAGAGAAACACTGAACTCAGGCAAGAGAGAATGTATAGTTGTGCTATCCTCCAGCTATAACAGAAGAATTCCAATATTAAAAAGGAAACAAAATGATGTAAGAAAAGGCTAGCCTTCAATAACTCCGCAGCCGCTAGACTTCCACCCACGAAAAAAATCTTACATAGATCTGCTGAATTCTTGCTTACAGCTGTGGAAGACTTTTTTCAAAAACTTGCCTTTTTGAATGTAAAAGCTGGTTTTGCCAAACATATCACTTATCACATTATTTCCACTGAACACTGCTGTGTGGCTGTGCATTTCCTGCTTTCAAATTTTATTAGATTAGAGTTGTGGAGCACTATCAAGTATCTCTCAGATCCTTAAAATTTCTTGGATGTTACATAAGAGAATTCTAAACATTGCTTTGGCAGGACAATTGACTGCCATTTATGCAGTTACCATGTTGTTCTCTCATATTAGTTCATACAGAGTGGAGTTATATGTAAGTCTCAACTTGTTAAAGGGAGAGGAGAGTTTAGTTTTCTACAGAAGTTACTGTATACTGGGATGGGTTGTTTCATTTTGTGGTGAGGAGCTGTTTGGTCAGATTCACTGCCTGAGAATTAACAAACAACATGAGAGTGTGGACAAGAGAATTCTGTGGACTTCTGCTGCACTGAAGACACTCTTCCTATGTCTGTTGTGTGACAGAGATGGAAAACCAAAATACCAGAGAGTCCCTGATGGTAGAGACTCAAGAGCAGTGAGCCTGAGCTTGCACAGAAGCCATGACCTAACAATTCTTATCTTCTAGGAAGAAAAATGGAGAACTCTCATTTTGGAGCTGTTGGGGGGTTGGGGTGAGAATTTACTCATTTTTATTTTGAGTAAAAGATGGAGAAAATACCATGAAAAAAACAAGGTAAGTTTTTCTAAAAAAATGGGATCCTCTGTTACAGCCAGCTAGTCAAGAACTGTTGGCTTGTCACAACCTCTAGCCTTTTTTGATTTTGTGACAATTTTTTCCTGCTTCCTGTATTAGTTAAAAATAATTATTTTCCACTTAATACAGGTGACTCACTGGCACAGTCCGTACTTTTTTGCCTACTTCCCTTCAGCCTCTTCCTTCCCAGCTCTTCTTGCAGATATGTTGTGTGGTGGAATAGGATGCGTGGGCTTCTCTTGGGTGAGTTTACTCTGGTGGGTGGTAACAGTGCTTCACCTTGCCAGAATTTTAAGTGTTTCAGGAACATTCTACAATGAAATAATTGATTATTAGCAGTGAAGTCACAGGAGTATTTTTGTAGGTAAATTTCCTTGATTAATTAAGGGTTTTCACCTAGACAGCCTGAATGATTCCAGGAATAAAAGGCTATTTCCTCATACAAGTTTTGCTCTTGAAAAATCACAAACATTTAGAATTAGTGATAGCAATGCAAACATACTGGTAATCCAGTAATATGTATGACTGTAGCTTAGCAGCCATTGTTGTTATTTCTCTTTTCATCTGGATGATGGAAAATTTTCTTAAAACCCCCATATTCATATGACGTATACTCTTCTCAAAACAGGCTGATATTTGATGTTGAAAAAAAATATGCAAGATGCAAATCCTAGCTTTGACATTTGATAGTCATGGTTCTATGTAAGGCCTATTTTGACATTTTTTAGTAAGTGTTAGAAACTATATGCACAAAATGGTCTTCAGGTCCCTAACTTGGCTGGTGACATTAGTCATCTCGTCTCTATAGCAAAAAAAAGAGAGAAAGAGAGAGAATTATTCTTGCTCAGGTAGATCTGATTTCTCTTCATGGTCTAGTGAGATTATTCCCTCTGCTCTGTTTTTCAACACAGGCTGCAAGTCCAGCTTGCACAGAGCTGGAGACTGTCATGCTGGATTGGCTAGGGAAGATGGTTAATTTGCCTAAGGAGTTTTTAGCTGAGAAGGATGGCCAAGGTGGAGGAGTCATTCAGGTAAGAGGGGAAATGAAACAAAGAATACAGACTGAGTTCTTGAAATCATGATTTTGTAAAATCTTTATACTAGGACACTAATGAAGGAAATATAATTTTTTTTTGCTGCCACATGGGTTCCTTTCAAATTTCAGGAGGATTGATGGTCTATGAGAATGTCTATAGGTGGGCAGGATCATTCAGGAAAGTAATGCTGATGTTTCTAGAGCAGATGATTTCTAAAACACTTCTCAGTGAAGAATTGTTAATAGTTCAATTTAAAATTTAGGCTTAAAATTCAAATCAGAATTGTGTAGGATGGAGACTTCAATTTGTTACTCAGTGAACTGAGCTCATATTTATCAAAAATATCCAGCAATGTTTCATAGCTGAGGTTAGAAGTCTACCTGTTCTATGTGCAATTGTTTATTTCAGTCAGTTTCCACAGAACATTGGAGATAAATTTTGATAAATAGAAATAGCAGAATGTAGTAAAAAGTATACCAGTTTTTGCCAAAGTGGTTCAAATTTCGTTACGTTTTTCTTATACAACAAAAGGAAAAAAAATTTAATATTATATTTTAATTATTCTATATAAAAATAATATATATATGTTTTTCTTATATAACAAAAGGAAAAAGCAGACAATTATAATAAAATGAAGAGCTGTTTAAAATGTGTACCTAAGCAGTTCTATCAATAGATAATACAATTTTGAGACTACAGTGCATATCCAAACTAGAAAAAAGTCCCCAAACTTTGACATTGACTGTTGAATGAAACTTACAATGTCTGAGCAGATAACCTGAACAATAATCATGGGCAATCTTGGTCCTAGATGGACTTGCACCTACACCAGTGTATTTCCAGTATAGTTCTTTACTCATCTGCTTGCTCTGTTAGTGTCTTTATCATTACAATTGCTAGGGAGGGCTTTATTTTCAAGAAAGCAAGCTTCCCTCATGCATGTAGCAGCATCTATTTTGTACCAGTTAAAGCAAGCAATTATGCCTGATTGTTATCAGCAGGAAATATTGCCCCTCCAGGCTGACAGTGCTGGATTGCCCATAATTTTCATCAGAAACCGGTCATTTTCAGAATCGAAAGTGGGCTCTCTGTTCCAGCTTATGATGCAGTCATTTGGGCTGCAGATCTTGTCTTGCTCTTGAAACAATAACGATCCAAGCAAAAGAGCATGAGGCAAAGACAAGGTGTGTGAAAGTGCCAGTCATTCTGTGCCTAAATGCCAAGTAATTATTGTGCTATTGGGCAAAACTGAGCCTGTGAAAATTGCCTCTTAATTACATTTGAAAGTCTATGTCAATATGAAGCACTTTGTTGTTCTGTGCAAGATGACACTTCAAAATGGCAAAAGATGAAAGAAAATTTCAGTTCAGAGCTCTGGTGGACATGAACATCAGCTCTTGCTGATATTTCCTCCGCCTCTTGAGCCTGCTTGCCATGGCAACCTTTGTTTGCCTGTGGTAAAAGCAAAGGTATCATCATCCTTCACTTAATGCAGCATGCAGCATTGAAGAGGAGAAAAAACAGCTTTCAAAAATAAGCGAGAAAGCAACTTTCTTGCTGAAGTTTGTAACCTGCTGTTCATTCTAGATAAATTGCTGGAAAGTGTACCTGCTTTGAATTTTAAAGAGTTTTCTTGTTCTGCAAAGAAAAAGTATTTTAGGGGTGAGACAAAATTATCTTTGGCCTGGCAAAGAACACTGCTGATTTATCTTACTTGTCAGTTAGCCAAGTAGTTCAAGAACCAAGGCGTTTTTTTTCCTCAAAAATATTTAGCACAAGATTTTGGTGCCAAGTGTATAGAAGAGCATTGCAAACCAAGCTCTGTAAGCAGTGTAAAAAGGTTCAGTGTAAAAAAGGTGACTCAATATAAAAAAAGTGATGTATGGAAACTGAGGCAAGGGGGGAAAGCCTGTGTCTGTCGTGAGATGTCAAATAAATGCCTTAACCTTTGTAATTTCTTACAGCCATTTTCTTTTACGTATTAATGCCCGTTTTTGTAATATGTGTATTCCATCCATTTCCTGGAAATGCACTAACATTGTAAATAGTTATTTTATTTCAGCTATTTTGAATTTTGGACAGAAAAAGTAGGAAGATTTCTCCATGTTCTGATATTGTGATGAGAACTCTGTCTGGCTCCAGACATACACAGAATAACATTGCTTAAGGAGATTGCCAAATTATGTTTTCTGTAATTAATAGACCAAATTTCCTTTGCCCCTTGCCTCCACATGGAAGGCAACCTTACTTGACCAAAAGGAGTAATTGTATCCTAATTCCATACTGTATCTGTAATAATTCCCTCAGTTACCATAATACTGTATGCAGCAGCAGCAGCAGGAGGTATTAAAAAATGCACAAAAAATACAAACCAGTGCACAAAACTCTCCAGCTTGTGTTTATGCCTTGGGGTCTACATTCCTTGAATCTCATACTACCAAAAAGGCAGATAAAATATATTAATCATTGGCAATACATTCAGTGAATGCTCTGGGACTGTCCTTTTCCCAGATTACTCAGTTGAATTTCAGCTGGATTGCATTCATGCACTGTTGAGATGTTGACATGAGTAGAAGGGAGCTTGGTCTCATATGAATAGCTCAGCCAGCTTCAGTGTAGGAGAAAGTCTGAACTCACTGGGATCATTCTCATATATGAAATCTGTCAGACCAGGCTCATCTTTAGGGAAATAAAATTGCTTTCCAAATATTTAAACATTTGTTGTAATTAGTAAGTATACTCAAGTCTTCAATAGAAGTAGGAGAGAATTTTGGTACAGGAGAAGAAACATCACTCCAAAATTAGTTTGTTGAAACTGGGATTATTTCTGAGACAAAGATACTAAATAAGTGACTCTATTCAGAGCACTGTTATGATTCACATGATGTTTAATCAACTTTGAAAGTACCTAAAAACTTCATCTTGCTTAGAGATTCCCCAATACATTGAAATTTATGAGTATGTATTTACAAACTGCTACTAATAGTTTAAAAGAGTAGTTTAGGGCATGTTTCAGGTGCATTTTCTAGATGAAAACTGTAAAAAGAATTTCTGGGAAGTTGTGTTCTTTGAGATTTACTAAATAAATTAATAAATTGATTAAAAAAAATTATTTTTGTAATCACAGAGTATCCAAGACACATTTTAAACTGATGTTTTGTGAGTCAAAGTGCAATTTAGAAATAGTATGTCACTGTTCCTTTCATCTTTGTTGGTGATGAAGAAAACATACATAACTAATACTTTGAAGTGCACTTAGCTATATTGAATCATAGCAGTTAGCAGTTTTGGTTTTTCAGTGTTTTTTTTCTCTTTTAGTCACAATAATTTACTTGCCCAAGGTAATTCTAATATGGAAGAAGGTGTATAATTAGGCATGTGTCTTGATAGAAGTGAGAGTTGGCATTCAGGTTGTGATGGAACTTAGATGTGCAGAAATCCAGAGTAACAGAAATCAGCAGTTACTCTGACATTGTTATGAATTAAGAGCAGACTGGTGCCTGGTTTGAGAGCCTTGTCACACACATTTAAGCCTTAGTGAGTCCAACTTTGTAGCACTTGCTTGCGAGGCTGTTGCCTAAACAGACCAAGCATAGTGATTTAAGAGAAAAGGCAGAGGCATTGGGAAGGAGGAGACCAAGATCAAACAGAGAGTCCTCCCTTGCTGTCAGACATAGTTTTAAAAAACATAAGATTGCACAGTTTCTCATCTGCATTTTCTGTTAACTACTTCGCACATTAACACAGAATGAATGTCGCTTTTCTCCTTCTGCAATGTTTTCATTTTGAATCTTCCCTCAATTTATCCCACAGGGAAGTGCAAGCGAGGCCACCCTGATTGCACTGCTTGCTGCAAGGACAAAGATTATCAGACAGGTGCAGTCAGAGAAGCCTGAGCTGACAGAAGCAGACATCATGGGCAGGCTGGTGGCTTATGCTTCTGATCAGGTGAGTGCCTCTCATTAACTTGGAAACACAGTGTCTGTACTTAACAATTTCAGCCATCTGAATAGGCAGGTGAATTTGGCATAAACTCTTTGGATTGGTGACTACTTGATTTTGGTTGTTTAAATCTTACTGTTCATCCTAAGTGTGTTCCATGGGGGTCTGTATTGGGATCAGTGTTGTTTAACATCTTCATAAATGACATAGACAAAGGGATTGAGTGCACCCTCAGCAAATTTGGAGATGACACCGAGCTGAATGGTACAGGTGACACACCTGAGGATGGGATGCCATCCAGAGGGACCTGGACAAACTTGAAAATTGCTCCATGGGAATCTCATGAGGTTTAACAAGACCAAGTTCAAGGTGCAGCACCTGGATCAGGGCAGTCTCCAGTACCAACACAGACTGGGGGGGATGAAAGATGGAGAGCAGCCCTGTGAGAAGGACTGGGGAGTGCTGGTGGTTGAGGAGCTGGACATGAGCTGGCAAAGCGAGTTTGCAGTCCAGAAAGCCAAACGTGTCCTGGGCTGCATCCAAAGCAGCGTGGGCAGCAGGGGAGGGAGGGGATTCTGCCCCTCCGCTCTGCTCTGGTGAGACCCCACCTGCAGGGCTGCATCCAGCTCTGGGCCCACAGCAAAGGGGGACATGGACCTGTTGGAGCAATTACAGTGGATGGACATGGAGATGATCAGAGGAATGAAGCACCTTTTCTATGGGAAAAGGCTGAGAGAATTAGGATTGCTCAGCCTGCAGAAGGGAAGGCTTTGGAGTGACATAATTAAGACTTAAAGCCTGTATGAAAGACAGGGGGGGACCTGTTACAAAAGCATGTACAGAACAAGGGGAAATGATTTTAAACTGTGAGTAGGGTATTATATTAAAGAAATTCTTTACTGTGGGAGTGGTGAGGCACTGGAACAGGTTGTCCATAGAAGTTGTGGATGTCCTACCTCTGGAGGTGTTCAAGGCCAGGATGTATGGGATTCTGTGCAACCTGATCTAGTAGAAAATGTCCCTGCCCATGACAGTGGGACTTTCACCTGCTGATCTGTAAGGTTCCTTCCAACCCAGGCCATTGTATGATTCTGTGGTAAGTGAACTGGAATGTCATATGTGTTTTCATAATATAAAAGATAAATATCCAGATGTCAGTGTTAAACATATTTATAAAGAGCTTGTTTGAAGTAAATAAGGATAATTAAATAAGATATTAATTTCAGTCAGGTTTAGTAAGTCTAGGGTACCTTTTGTTACATTCAATCTTCTATGTCTATCTGTGCACACTGTACTTTCTTCCTGCAAGAACATGTGCAAGCAAACATCCTCTCCCTATATGCATGCATGGGCACAGGTGCGTGTATGCAGAAAAACCTAATGCATGAATAAAATCAAATCAGTCACAGTACTTGAAGAAGTGAAAACATTTTTTTCTTTTAAAAAAGAAAACCTTTAAGATATCCATCTGCCAATCCAACTAAGAAATCTTGTAAGGAAACAGAAAACATAAACCTTGATTTCTGACTGTGAGTGGTATTTAGCAGACTGAGTTACACTAAATTCTCAGCAGGCCATGACTATGAGAGGCTTTTAATGTTAATGAAAACAAATTCTGCTCATGTGAGTTCTGCTGCTGCTGTTTCTGACACTGTAATCCTATTGAAGGGCCATGCAGTGTTGTTTCTCTTAATATGTGTGACATTTTCTCACCTACATGTCAATGAGACAGAAAAAAACCCTCTCTTAGTACTTACTGTTTATATTAAAGTAATATGGGATGTGCAGAGTAAAATGGCCAGGTTTCAGCCTTACTTTGATTTACTGCTAAGTGTATGTTAGAGAGCACTGTAGAAGTTGTTAACACCACACTTGCTCCTTGCTGGTGGGAAGAGGGATTACACTTGCATGGTGAGAAGATTCAAGACAAGGAAATATGAGACAAGATAACTGCTTTCAAGAGGCACAAAGGATATTTATCCTTTCTTTTGGTTTGTTTGGGACCCTAAGGTCAGTATTGCACAGACCACCAGTCCCAGAGCTCTGACCAACCCAGTGATGCACAAAACCTTTTACTTGTTTTGACTTTTTTGTCCCATGTAAGAGGCTGACCTGAAATGAGGACTGACAGGCCTTCCTGCCTACTGAAGGTCAGAGGATCTTATGTTTACAGAAGGATTTGCCTTAAGATACTGCTGACCTTTTCTAGCAGATTGTTGCCGAGCTCACCGTTCCTTCTGCGTTAAGAACAGACCTGTGTGACTCATAGGCAATACTCCACAAAAGAAAGTTCAAGCCATTCTGTAAAAGGGAAAACCATTTACTGATAGAGCCCAACAATACCAGAATGCATCTGGAAAAGAATCTTGCCACAATTTTTGAGTCTTGATGAAGCAATTTAGGGGTTCTGACTGGCTAACAACCTCAGTGTATTATTGTAGTTTGCTTATTTGCAATTTTAGTATAAATATGTTCTAAAATATGTTTTTCATTGTACACTTGAATGAAGTATGGTGTTGCCATGCCACACACCTAATTTTCCCCTTAAAAAGTTATATTTCAAGTTTAGGCTTCCTAATTTTCTCAAGCTGGTGCCTAATTAGTTACCAAGCACATTAAAAAGGGGCACTACTGAGATACAAATTGATGGTACATCTGTCTTTAAAACATGTCATTCCAGAAATATGTTTAGCTGAAAGGAAAAACTTCATCTCTTCTAGTTCAACAAAATTCTAGATTGCTATTTTTGTGATTATGTGCTAAATTGAAATAGAATTAATAAGCAGTCTTAGGCACTGGCAAGAATCAACAAGGAGATTGTGAATGAGAATAGTCATGATATGAAAAGGTGAGGCATTTTCCTCTTTCAAGTTAATGATGATTAATGAAATTATAGAAGGTAAAATAGCTTTTCTGTTTGCTTGTTTTAATCATGCTTTAAAGGAGATTATTTTATGGCTAATGTACCTCTCATTGTCAATGGAGTTTTTATTCCTGTTATTATTCTATTGTACTTCACAAATTTATGAGAATTTCTTAGTGATAATTTCGTTTTTATTAACAGAGATGTGATTTATTTTCTAAAACAATATTATTTCAGGGGAATTAAATGGAAATGTAAATAATGAAGAGTTGTAAACACGTATTGGGAATGATCCTTGCCTAAAAAAGTGACTGAATGATTGAACCACCATGTAGTTAGTATGTTATCAGAAAAAATGGTTGTGTAAGAAAATACATGTACCATACTGTGACATGTACAGTTTTAGAGTTCAGAAAAGCTATACACCATAAAAATATGCTAGCCAGCACCTGAATCGTTGTCAGACAAGAGGATTGTCTGCACATCTTTTGATTGATCTAGAGCCAAATCCTGAAGCTCCGCATCAATCCTACCATGTAAATTAAAGCTCTCACTAAGGCTAATGGAACACTTGTCTAATGTGATCATGGCAATGGTCTCAAGGGTATTGCAGGGTTGCTATTAGTTTATTTTGTGTATGTGTGTATTTATGTATATGTGTACATGTATATATATGTCCATCTACCTATGGGAAAGGTGGAGAAGTATGTATCTATTACATATGATCAACAGTTCTAGGATCTCAAGTATGGCTTCACTTGAAAGGACTTACTTTTTTAGTTTGTAAATTCAAATGAACTTCTTACATTCCAGTAAAAAGTATTGGTCTTAAACCTTGTCCGTTTCCTTGTAGGCTCATTCCTCTGTGGAAAGGGCTGCACTAATTGGTGCTGTGAAGATTAAAAGTGTTCCTTCAGATGACACATTTAGTGTTTGTGGTTCAGCCCTGAAGAAAGTTCTGGATGAAGACAAAGCTGCTGGTCTTATACCTTTCTTTGTGAGTACTGGGTTTTAACAAATCAGTGGATTTAATGCTTCTGATAAGAGGCTTTTGACATGAATAAATGGCCTCATCCCTAACAGAGGCACTGGTAGGCAGCTGGGCTAGAATATTAGGAGAGGTTCCATGAGTGTTCTTCACATACCTTTTTGTGCAGGACGAGAAAATAATTTGAGGAACTGGTTGCACTTCTCAGCAAAATTATGTTTGAGGTCAATTTTATAGTTGCATGTAGTCTTGCAGTGTTATAATGTCCTAATTCCTGAATTCTGAACTGTTTACCTTTATTTTTCAGGTTCCAACTTACTTACAAATAAAACAAGTTTAAAGGCAGTAAATTAAATGATGCTATCTCAAGCCCAAGTGTCTTCAAGAAACAATAGTTTCCTCTTGATAGTACTTTAGCAAAAAAATTAACCTCCATAATGTACCCCAAATATCATCAAGATCAGATGCAGTCAGGTACTTGTGAGTAAGTAATTAATCTCTAGCAAGTGAGTTATAGAGAATGCAGCTGTGGAAACTTCAGATGTCACCATTTCTTGTTATCTGTCCACTTTTTTTTTTCTCCAGAAATTCCTGCTTTCACAGCAGGGCAGCAAAGGCAAATGTACTTATGTATCAGTATCTTAAGCTCATAATCCCCCAAGTTTTGACATAGAGCATTGTTAGATTAGCTAAAACTCTAAAGCTTGGTTCTACCATGATAAGAACCTGATCAAAAAGAAAAATTGCCTATTCATCAGATCTGCTCCTCCTGCCAGTTCAGAATACTATGTTATTACTTCAAGTTAAAACAAGATTTTGCCATTTGTTTTTTTTTTTCCTATGATGTAAGTAACTTCTGTTGTGGTTTTGTACACCACCAAAAAAATTCTTTGCCTATTTCCAAGCATTATGCTCTACTAAACTTGATAAGAACCACAGGCTATATAGATTTATTAAGGGGTATAACATGCTACAGAAAATATGTTTTTACTGGCCTCCACTGAAGAAAAAATCCTCACACAACTAATTTCGAAACTGAGAACTTCAGGGATTTTTTTTAAAAGATTCAAAAATAAGTCACTTTTTTCACAAAAAAAGTCATGTCCAACAATGGTTGTTTCTTTTCTTTCATGTTGTAACATTTTGAAAAGGGATAATATGACTTAAATTTCTGTGAACTGTTTTCAGAAGAATTAGAAGATTAAGCTTGCTTATACTCATGGATTAGTGCCAAATGGGACAAAGAAGCTTAAATTTCACCAGGCTCTTATGAAAATATAATCTTTTTACTCTTCTTGTTATTAACCTTTAGAGAATGCTTTTATGTAATATGAGGATGACTAGAATGAGAAGTGGTTTTCCTACGTGCAGAACACTGCTAATTTCTAGGGTGCCTAGAACTAGCGAGTCCTTAGGATGACCAAGCACATCCTGCCAATTTCTTTATAATATAACAAGAATCTGACTGAGAAAAAAGCATTTCTAGGGATTCCAAAAAGAACTTTTTTTCTGTGGGATGCACCTATTGAGGTGAAGAACAAGCCACACGGCGTGTTTTATTTCTCTGTGTTATGATCCCAGCTCATAATACCTTAACACAGTATCCTGTTTCTATATCTCACTGTTAATTTTAAATAATTACAAGTACAGCAGGATATCACATTTCATGCAGTAACTATAAATGTCTTTTTTTCTCAGCTTTCCTCCATTTGCAAAAAAAAAAAATGCAACTTGCCCCTCATAAATATTCAGGCCTTATTAATCTTTCTATGCATACAAGAGGAAAAAAAATCTAATTTATGTATTCAGTGACACATTTACAAAGGATGATTTAACTGCTGTTTTCTTCCTCTGTTTGTTTAGCTGTGCAGCTTTCAAAGACAGCAGAGGCTCTGCCTGAGTTAATACAGCCTGTATTGAGTCTTCCACTTATTTGTATACATAAAATATGTCAGCTTTAGCTTAAACTAGATCTCATTATTGGTATGGCTGGCCTCTTAACTCAAAAGGTGTGTTAATTCTCTGTCATGCTGAGCAGCAGTTCATGCACTGTATTAGTGCTCCCTTTTTTGGCTTGCAGATTTCAAAAGCCTTTCCATTTCTTTTGTTCTTGAGTAATTTGGTGCTGTTGTATTTTGTTCTGGCGACAAAGATATGCACATTGCCAAGGAAACACCTTAGCCACTTGATTCCTTGTCTCCCTGTATTCACTGATCCTTCACTAAGGGGAGTGATTCAACATCAAAGCAACAAGTTTGATGGAAGAAATTCTGCCTGAAGAGACTTGTGACAGCAGCGACATCACTCCTAATGAAGATGTCTTGTTTGTATCCAAGCTGCTACAGTCTCCCTTAGAAGCAAGAAAAGGTTTTGTAAGGGATTAAAAAGAAAACACAAGTAAATTGCAATGCCTTATAGGCATGTTCCTCCTCTTATTCTTAATGAATAAATGAAGAATCATTATACTGAACTTGATAGCAGTGCTTTCCATGTAAAGGTGAGTGGAGAATCAGGGTCAGGTTTGTTTGATGTGAAACAGGTTCTGTCATTACAGCAATCTGTTAACAAAAGGTTTGCTTTTCACTTACATAGGATTTGGCAGTCAGCCTTTTTTGGGGAGAGGCATTGTCTTTAAAAGGAATCTTTGCATTCCTACCCACCATCAATGTCCTGTAGCACTAGTAATGTGTATATAATTTTGTTCAGTAAAAGCTGTTGCCACTAGGGTACCCTGATCTCTACTTTTGTTTTCTTTCTTTCATTTCTGAGTTCAGACTCATGTTAATTCATCTCTTTCAAAATACTTTTGCAGAAACTGAAACAGAGATATTTTCATATAGTAAAGCAAGGAGCCTGTGCAAGAAAAGCACTTAAGCATGTCAGGTGTTGAGGCACTAAAATAGCCACAATTTACTGAGGAGCCATTTCCCAGCACAGATGATGTGCAGCCCTTCATGTGGCCCCGAGTTAAGGGGGAGCTTTAAAACACGTGCTGAATTCATGTCCATTTCTTTAACTGCAAACACACACTGGTGGTTAAACCTGTGTGTAAATGCCTCTCTCAGTCGGGCCCTGTGCTCCCAGCTTGACACAGGCCTGTGTTGGCAGAATGTTGGCTGGGATGCTCAGAAGTGAACTTAGACCACTAAGTTAAGCACTCCTAAATTCAGATAGAGTGCCCACTGCATTGAAGCCTAGCTCACCTAAACGTGTGTATGTGGCCTGTGAGCTTTGTGCTCTCTTTCATAAGTCAGCACTGACAGATTGCAGCTGTCATATACAAGGTACAATATACTTCAATGACCTCAACCAATATAGAGCTGCTACAACACAATTGTCTGCTGCCCAGCATGAAATCTCTCTGATTTTAGATGAAATGACTCTTCTGAATGTGATCCACAGGATATTAAGAAGCAGGCTTTTTCTATCCAGACTCACTCAGGAAACAATAAATCAGAATCAGACTGACAGATGAGCCATCTTTTCAGTAGAACACTTAGATCCTGACCACAGATTTCCATTTGGAAGAAACATTCTTCAGACACGTACAGATGTCTAGGGTGATGTTTCTTAACCCACAGTTTGTGAATGATTGCTGTTCCGTAAAATACTGAATGGTGGTTTAGAGAACTGTTGCAGTTTTCTTCAGGCCACAGACATTCTCATGAGTGCAAGCTGGCAAGAACTGAATAGGAGAAAATAAAAACAATATGTGAACATTGAAAGTTCTGCCTCATTTTAGTTATTTGCAAATGAAAAGCTTTGTGGTGGAACCATGCAAAATGTGTCCACATCTTTTCAATAGCTGTAGGAGGTATTCCAGTTGAAAAGATTGAGAGGAATTGCTCTCAGGAATCATAAAGATGCATGTATGTTTCCTGACATAGCTCTCCATTTCAGGAAAGTAATACATGAGATGACTGAGTTAAGCATTTTAGCTGCTTTGTATTCACAACCAAGGGCTGAGTCAAATTTGAAGTGCACAACCTGAAAAGGAAAGGGCCTGCAGGCTATACTGAGCCATCAGTCCTATTTCTGTGATGCAGTCTGTCCCCTGCCCTTTGCACAAATGTGATTTTTCTGGTGTTACACAGGCTACAAATTGAGTTAGATTCATTCTGTAGTACTGAGGCGGGGTAATGAGAGTCCTGACAAGGGCAGGTGGTGTCACTCTAAGTGGTTTCTGAGAATTAAAGAAAGTAGCTTTGAGGCTTAGACACCTGCAGAGAGGAAAACAAAATTATTTTAGAAATTGAGGTTTACTTTACAGAATAAGGCATTATTTAAACAACTAAGCATATGTTTGAACTCATATAATCTCTCACTGAAAAAAACATACTTTTTATCCTGACTGGGGAGAGTACCTTAACAGCAGTACAAAACGAATAACAATAATGTGTAACTTTTTGTTATGAAATTTCCATCATTATTTTAATTGCTGGACTAACCAAGGCAATCTCACTCTGATCTTGTCAGAAAATTCATACCATATTCCATAAAATATATGTGTAAAAGCTGAGTTAAGTCTATAGTGCACTATTTTTATTTATTTCCCAATATATGCATATTCCTTATGCATATTTAAAAACTGGCATTTTCATCATGGTATCCTCCATTGTGGTAAATATATTTTCACTCCATACATATGTGCCTTAGGAAAAATTGAGACCAAATTTTTCCCTGCTATTTAAAAAATTACCCTGCAATCTTTTCAAAGCAGCCTCTCTAAATGGGTGATTAGTGTTCCAGAGAACTCTTAGATGTGCCTCAAAGCACATCAGTTTTCTGTTTTTCTGTGTCTCAGGAATAGAGGCCAGTATAGATAAAGATGAGATTATCTTGAAGAAAAAATATATTAGCTTATGATTTTACTAACTATATACATACAATTACTTCTCAACTGTATTTGTTCCAAACTCCGGTTCTTAGTAGCTTAGTATAGAAAAAATACTGAATTGTCCCTTTTTTATTTTAATAATTACTTTTTTCAAGTTTTTCTGGGACAGAATGTTTGTTTCTTGAAAAGTCCACTGGGTGGATAAGTATAATTTAGGTTTTCCTTTTTCTTGTTATTGGTCTCATCATGAATTTGCTAAGGGACACATACACACAGAAAAATGTGTCTAGTTCCAGATATATAGGGAAAAAATGTAGGGACAAAATATGTTGCTTGGCAGAAAAGGTAACCAGAAATACTAAAATAAAAAAAAGCAAAATTCTGGGTTTGGCATTTTTATAATCATGTCCTAGCTGTACTGTAATTTATGTGTGACCTTGGATAAATTATCCAAGTCTTTTTGTATTTCAATACTCTGACTATAACACAGCATACTTTATTTGTCTATTTAAACTGTAGAGTGTCTTTTATTATGTAAAAAATCTAGTAAATGACAAAAACCATAGTCAGCCTTTTAGTGCTTTCAGAAATAAGAGAGGGTGTTTAAAACATAAGTGTAGCAATGAAAAATAATGTCAGTTTATATGCCCTTGGTAGTTGGGGGTTATTGATTAAAATTCTACCTGCATATTCCCAATAAATTACAATAGCTCATTTTCACCTAGTTATATTCTCTTTCTGCTGTGAAACTTCAGCATTTATGTTGCCTCTGCCTTTGGCCCAGTGGTCACACAGAAGGATACATTAAATGAGACATGAACAGAACGAAGGAAGAACTGTTCCGGTGTTTTTGGATGAATCTGGGAGAAGAAGTTTCTCTGTGAAAAAGTCTTGCAAGCCAAGTAGGGAACATATGCTGCTAGTGAACAGGTTCCAGGTTGCAGATCTCTTGAGCATAAACTGGTTACAAATCTCTGTTGCAGAGCTGTGGCTCTGATCAAGACAGCAACATCTGTCGATCTATTCTGTCAATAATAATTCCAGCACCTTTAAATTGCTCAAGTTCAGAACTTGCTTATGTACCATGAACTGCAAATCATTTTGATGGGATTTGCATATGTTAAGATAGTACTGAGCCACACAATAAACATGTAGAACTTACAGAAAGTACATAAAATATAGCATTAGCACAACACTGTGCCTATATTACAGTACTTATCATTCAATTTTTTATAAACATTTTATTTTATGCATCTGCTTCAGTGGACTGTTATGGGAGCCTTGGAAAAAACCAACCCATAGTCTTAAAAGTTCCACTAAGGGACTATTTAAGTGCCACTAATGACTAACATAATTTTTTTGTTCTGTAATGTCTTGTATTTTTGTTTATTGCTGCCTTTGCAGACTGTTTTTCTCCTTTTTCTCCTTTGGTAATTTTCTATGCTGTAACACTTTCTTTTTTTTTGGCTCTGCAGTTCTGTGCAACACTTGGAACCACCTCTTGCTGCTCCTTTGACAAACTGTTGGAACTGGGTCCTATTTGTAAGTCTTTGCTGCTTCTTTCTAAAATTTCAGATACCAGTTTAAGCCATGCTGAGTCATTTCCAGGGCATTATGCTGTGTCAGTGTCCAAATACAATAAAGCTACTTATAGATGAGACCTTCAGTTACAGTTTTATTTCTAATATTAGGTCAAGCAGCAAATGTGCATTCTCAAGCTGTTAAAAGAGCTAGAGGGCATTGCCTTAAGGGTTTCTTTTCTGGGGGTGGGGGGACGACATATTTTGGAATACTTAAGAATTACTGTAAGGGCCTCAGTTTGTAACATATTTCTTCAAGCCCTTCTGCCCTGCAAGGGCATCTAGAACGATGCTGAATATCAGGGAAAAGCTGAACTCTTAATTCTGCTCTGCACCAAGTGTTTTGTTTCTGCCTGGTTCTAATAACTATAAAGGTAGGGAAATATGCACCAAAAATCCCCATCTATTCTTAATCCTTGCTCTCCCCTTCCCAATTTCCTTCCTCTTCCAAGAAAATAGGAAAAACGCCAGTGTGTTTAATACAGTGATAAAGTCATGGACTCTTCATAAGTATTTCTTTCTGTGTTATGGTTTGTTGTGTCAAGCTTTGATCTGCAGCAGGGCTTGGTCAAATCCCGTGTTTGCTGGCTGATGAAATTGCTACCAAAGTACACCATATCTCTCTCCAAATGAGAACAGGAAATCCATAGCTGCAAGCCACTGGAAGCAACTTCACAGAAACACAGCTTGATTTGATGTCCTGTTAATTTATTCAGGGGTCCTTTGCTCCATGAGGTTTGCTGCCTTTCAGCACAAGCCCCAGTGACTCAATTTCTCCCAGTCCTTCTTTTTGAACAGGTTCCTAGTAGTTTGCTTAGCAGCTACAGATTATTTTGCTGTTTGTGCTATTCCTGAAGACCTACTAAAATAGTGACACCAATATTTTTAGGTGTAGCAATAATCATGTGTTTCACTTCAGTGATTCCCTGCTTGTGTAGCAGAACCAAAAGGATGGCATGCCAGTGAAGTCAGAAATCTCATGCTAGCTTTAATGCTTAATCTCATCCTTAGCATACATGAGCAGCAGTCCTGTGATATGAAGGCAGTGTCTCAAATCAAGTATATTTTAAAATAGATAATCACTTAAACATTCAACATGCTTTAAAATAAACCTAAGTTGTGGATGTTGTGAATAATATTTTATTGGCTTTCCCAGACATTCATGCAAAAAGAAATTTTAGTTCACAAGAATGCAAATTTCAGCATGAACTTGGTACCAGACTTCAGATCTCAGTGGATGTACCTCTGTATGTGGAAATAGCCATCAGAATTATTTGGTGGCAAGTGTAATGTGGGCTTCAGCCATCAACTGATAGACCATAATTGTTACTGAGTGCATTAAAACGGTGTTCCCCAGTAGAGTGGGAATACTGAATTAGAGTATACCTGAGCTGCTCATATTCCAAATTATTTCTGCAGAAACCATTCAGTGACTAATCAAAGTAGCACTTTCTCAGCATTTCAGCGCTTGCTTTTGCCTAATTGTCTCCATCCTTGAAAGGAGTAGTTTGCTGCACATAGTTCAAAGCATGTGCATGCACATTTATCAATATGTACAAAATTCTGTTTAGAAGTGTGTTTGTGAATCATGAGTTAGAAGGGGGAACACAGGTAATATTCTATCTCCTGCTAAAGTAGTTTTATTAGCATATAAATGATAGCTAAATCTCTATATACATTTTTTGAAAGTTTATTTTATAATGGTTCTTAAATTAAAACCACAAAATAATTTATGTTGCTTAATTTTAGTAAGATAAACCTAGCAATGATGATCCTTATGGGTCCTTTCCAATATGGGATATTCTGTGATTCTATGCTTCTGTAACTTTTTTCCAGTAGAAGTGGGAAGTAAAAATAATACGTTATATATACAATTTATTTATTAATGAAAACCCAGATGGTGGAAACATTTAATCTCTTAATTTAATTTGAAATTGGGAAAATAATAACATCAAAGAGAAACCTCTCAGGCACTTGGTTTCATGCAAAATAATTGGGCTTTTTAATCAGCTGTTTAATTTATTTCCTTCAATTATTTTTTTAGGTAATAAGGAAAATATCTGGATGCATATTGATGCAGCCTATGCGGGAAGTGCTTTCATCTGCCCTGAATTCAGGCATCTTTTAAATGGAGTGGAGGTGAATGAGTGTTTTTTCTCTAGCAGCCTGCTGAAACCTTGCTCTCTTATAGAATTTTCGTGTTTTTTTATGCAGCCAAGATTAATGGCTCTTCCAGAATCTCTGAGTAAGCTGCACCTCGGTTTGCACTACAAATCCCTGTACATTCGATTATATTACTTAAATTTGTAAATTTTTAATGGTTTATACTAGGGCTATGTGAGTACCCCTTTATAAGAAGATTGTCATTCAAAATAACAAGTAGTACTGAATCAACAAACAAAAAAGAGATATTTTCCCCAAATATCACTAGAGACATATTTGTAACATCCTACATTACACAAAAATGAGGAAAAAATAATTTTGACAAATTAATGAGCTCATTATGTCTGGTTTTCTTCTTACATCCTTAAATTCATATAGTATAGAGCCAGTAGCTGTATCTCAAACAGACAGGGTTTAATAACCAAGAGACATAAATGAAATATTCCCCTAACAGCACTGCTGTTCCTTTTCCGCTGCCTTGCTGAGCTACTTGGCATTCAGTTGCTTAGATAAGAGTACTTCAATTTCCTGCTGCTCCCCTCACTCAGATAAGTCCTTGTCTTCCACGCCAGTGGAGAAAATATTACTGTTTGGTAAAGCCAGAAGTTTAAACATAGCACTGATAGGCAGTGAGTAATGAAGAAGAGGAGGGAAAACCCCCTCACAAATAAAGCATTTCTTTTTGTCTCCTTTTTATCAGCAAATGAAGCTTGTTGTAATTTCCTGTGGGGGAATATTTTTTAAATTATTGTTATTGATTCCTAAAGGAAATGAAACAGCATCCCTTGTCTGGGCCAGCGTTTGTCATAAGAGTAAATATTTGACAACCATGAATAGGTTTCTTACTTTACATAGTACAGGGTGATAGCAAGATAGATGGATAGATAGATGAGTAGAGAGACAGGCAGATCATCTTCTCTTATTAGAGCATTAGTTAATTGTTTACAAGTGACAGGAAAGGTTATGAGAAGCAAATGAGAACAGAAAAGTGCAATATAGAATAGTCAGACCTTGGTGATCCCCATCCCCAGCTTTTTAAGGCTGGTGCCTTCTGCCTTTCTTAAAACATAAAACATGGATGAAACCTTTCCAAAATCTTTACCCACCTGGGCTTCTTGTGATGTCCCACCTAAACATGTCAAGTAAACCAGGCGTGGCATATGGTGTATAAATGTGTATTTATTGCAAGTGCTTACTTTTTGGTGGTTTTTCTTTTGATTTAGATGAAACAATAATTCTAGTGAAAGAAAAGACCCTGTAAAAAAAAAAAAAAGAAAAAAAAGAAGAAATATTTCCTAGTCAGTTGTAATTTTTTGAAGGAATATGATGTGCAGATTCTGAATTACATGTATAGTTTCTTTATATAGTTTCTTGCTATATATGAATTTTGTGTCTATTAATTTCATATCCTTGGAAGTAGAAAACATAGGGATTTTTTATTGGAAAATGTGATATGAACCCCAATTAGTGTTTCTGAGTGTGCAAATGCATTTATTTATTTATTTATTTATTTATTTATTTATTTAAGATCACAATGAGATACACACTTTTCCATAACATATGTAGCAAAAAAGTATAATTGTAAACAAATGCTCAAAATGTTAATAATACTATTAGCCTTACTCCATACCTAACATGAATTCCACTTCCAAAATAAATGAAGATTTAACTCCAACAGTTACTAAATAAGGTGACATCAATATGAACATTATAAAGACCTGATTCAGGAATTGATTTATACTTATACAGACAATTTGACAAAGTCATATCATTATCACATGATTTCTCTTTTGTAATTCTGTTTTTATTTATCCATTCTCAGTTTGCAGATTCATTCAACTTTAATCCTCACAAATGGCTCCTAGTGAATTTTGACTGCTCTGCAATGTGGTAGGTATTTCAGTAAAGGGAAACATTACAAGAAACAAAAATGAGGTTTTATTAGTCTTCCTTTCTATGAGTAGACATTTCTTTATATTTTTCAACTGAAATAAGGAAAACTGCATAGCTTTAAATCTTATAAATTATTTACAGAATTCAGACTTTCATTTAATCCAAATTTCAAAAACACAAAGTTCTGAAAGAGAACTGAACTCTGCATTGTGTTCCAAAAAGAGAGAGAAGTCCCCAAAAGTCTGAAGATTTATACTTGCTCCATTTTGGGACTGTTTAAAACATAAATAAAAAACCTTATTTTAAGCATAGCAGTGCAATGAACAGCATGCTAAACAGGGTTTTTTTTTTTCTTTCTTTCTTCCTTTTCTTTTTCATAACATTTCTTTTGGTTTGATTCTTTTAAAAGCCGTTCTAAAAATGTTGAAGATTTGGCTGATGAAAAGCAGCTGATTTCAAAAAGGCCTATTTATGCAATTTTGTACTGACTTTCAATTTTCCCAGATGACAGCCCAGACATTTTGATATTAAATGATGCTGAAATAGAAACCCATAGACATACTTTCAAACAAAACAAAGTATTATGGCAGTAATAATAGCATGGGTTTGTTAAAAACGTTCCATGGATGATCCAATTTTGTCCCAAACAAAATGATTACCAGCATCACAATTAATGATACTTGTTAGCAAAACAGCTATTCAACAAAAGCAACCATTTATCAAAATAAATGAAAACATTAATTTCAGTCGTAAAAGAACAAAATTTACAAAAGAGAAAAAAAGAAGACTCTAAAACATCATCCAGAAATAGGTCACCTATTTAAAAGAGGAATAAATGTAAGACAGTGATCACTCAGTTGCTTTTGGTTAACCTTCGTCTCTTTTAATTTCCCTGGCAAAGTTGGTAAATAAATATATTACCTGAAAAGTTAATATGGTACCTTTTCAGGTAATATATTATGGTTTTTACTTTAATATTTCAGCTGATGTAGGCATTTTTAATCTTCCCACACATTGTGTTTTTTTCTTTTCCTTAGGGTAGATGGCTTCCATTTAGACCCTAATTCATCAGTAGTGGCAGCACCCCACAATGTGCTGTGTCTGTGTATGTAGGGAAGTGGGAAGAGGAGGAAACAAACTCCTTTGCTAGTTCCTCCCATCTTTTTCTCATCACTCAAAGACATTGTTAGAAACACAGCCACTTGCAAATTAGACAATACACTATCATTTTCCTTAATGTTTGTAGACAATGAGGAACCACAGTCTAGTCCCTAACAATTTAGTTTCTCATTAATTCTGCTGTCCCTGAAAACCCTGTGGAACTACGTTACAGGCATTTTATCTGGCTTTTCAATAAAACAATTTATATACAATCACACTGTGAGTTCCCATCTCAGGTGACTTTACGTTATTCCTAGTAAAGCTTAGACTTTAGACTTAGGGAAATATTTTTTCTGCATTTTGTTTCTTGTTGGGTTTTTATTTTTTGTTTTTAGATAAGACATTGCATAACATGCTTGTTTTCATAGGTAGGAAGATTGCAGTAAAAGGACTCTGAAGAGACCCTGCCATGTCTCCCTACTCAAAGTAAAAGTTTCACAACTATAGCCACTCAGGCTTCAGGTCAGCTAGGCATTTGCGTATAGGGGTTATTCCCTTAACACACAATAAATATACACTTAAGCTCTTTGACTTGAAGCCAAGTCCATTGTCCAGCAAGCTAATTCTAAGGCCCGTGTCCAAAATTCACCTGTCTTGCCAAATGTAACACTCCCTGAGGAGGTGAAAAGTAATAATAAAGGATGAAGGATGGTAAGAAAAAGTAACTGTGAAGAATACGTTCTCTTAGGATCCATGAAAAGTATTAAGTAAGATACTGTGGTAGTATGGAAAGAGGAGTTCAGTAAACACTGAACACCATTTCAGAACCAAAGTAATCTGTGCATCCATTGATGACCAGACTTCAAAATAACTCAGACTCCTCAGCACTTTCCCCAATAAACACTTGCATTTCTTTTCTCTGCAAGCTGATTAAAATAATCTACCAATTAGATCTGTAATGTAATTATGTAACTACTCAGTGCAATATGTGGCACTGATGTAGTTTCAGATTTGGAGACAATTTCATTATAAACCTTTTGTAAAATATTCTCAGACTTCCTGATGTACAGAAAAGAGCAGTCAATTTCCTATAAAAAGAAATTTAATAAAGCCAGTCCAAGAAGGGTATATTTTCTACATTCAAATATCAGAGTCCTTTAGAGACTTTCTTTTGAACCTACAGTCAGTTTTGCCTGACTTCTTTAATTGATGCTCTGGAATATTATAAAATAGGACTAAGTGTCTTCATTCAGACAGAGTGAAAATAATCTTGCAAAGTCTTGGTATTTTTGACTTTTATTACTATTTTCAAAGTTTAAGTGTTAACTTTTGATTGGGAAGGGTGTTTCTGTAACTGGAAGAAGGTGCTTACAGGAAATACTTATCTGTAGATCATAGAACACAGAATAGTTTGGGTTGAAAGGAACTTAAAGGTCATCTACTTCCAACCCCACTGTCATGGGCAGGGACACCTTCCACTAGCCAAAGTTTGCTCAAAGCCCCACCCAGCCTGGTCTTGAAGAGTGCTTGAAATGAAATTGTATTTCACTTCCCAGCTCCAGCTGAACAAACTTGAACAATCTACTTGAACACAAACTGAAATTTTCCTGGTGGTTCATTATATGAGGTCACCTTTTTATCTTTCATTTAAAATGCACAAAATAGAGCGAGGCAGTTAAAAGCTGCAGATGTGCAATTCAAGTAAGTCACTTCTCACAGATTTTCATTACTCATTTCACCAGGAGTTTTGTTGTACATTTTGTATTATGAATACTTAATATGTGAATCTGTGCTACTTAGGCTAGATCTTGGTCTATTAGCATAACTTCCAGCCTTAAAAAAATTGTGGTTTACCAGTATAATTTGTGAAATACATATTCACAGGATCACAGATTCATTAGGGTTGGAAGGGACTTCTGGAGATCATCTAGCCCTATGGTTTTCCTCTTGAGAGGTGGTCAAGGAACATCTTTTAGGCTGGTGGAAGAAAGGAACACCTTTCAGGCTCTGCCTCAGAGCCCCTTTAACGGAGAGCCACCCACTACAGTCACTCAACTTTTCTTTTTACAGTAACCACCACATGGCTCCTGATGTAGGCTCTCCTTGTTTGCCTTGCTCACAGACATCTAAAACCTCTAAAGAATCATACCTGATTTTGCTCTGAATGTTGGAGGATGGAGGTTGGTTGGAGCCCTGCTTTTTTTTGATCGCCAGGGTCCAAGGTGTCTCAGTATTATCCCCTGGAGGTGGATGGTTCTGGAGCTACATATCTACTTCTGTTTGAGTCCCTCCACTACCACAACAGCCTGTTATCTGTGTCTTGTAATGCAGCCATTTGACAACAGGTCATCCACCCGTGCACACCTGGTGCAGGTACCAGCCTTTTCTCCAGGAGAATTATCTGGGTATCCACTGCAAGCTACCAGCTGTACTGACACCTCCTTCCTTACCAGTTCCATCTGAGTGGCAGCGTCAGACTTCTCAGGGGCTGCCTCACTCACACTGTGTCTGGCTCCAAGGTGGGGGCCCCCCATTGTGGCAGAGACCTTGAGCACTGAGCACTCTGGTCTGGATCTCCTTAGGACTTGCCTGAGGTGTGGACCTGCTTGCAGAATGCAGCAGCACCCTTCCTGCATTCCCTGCCTACAGAAACTTCCATGTCATTTTTGTGAGTTCTAAGATAGATGTTGCTACAGAATAGTTACCCTTCCCATTGTTTTATACAGCATCTTACAGGAGAAGAAATAAAGCATTCACAAAACATCTTAAGACATTGCTTATAACTTGGATTAGCTGCATGGAGAATGAGCTACTGAAACACAAATATACCAAAGTAATCAAATACTTCAAATAAACTGCAGTAGAACAACCTAAAATCTGTTTAACCTATTTATCCTAATTAAACCTTTTTTAAATTATTGTTTTCCTCCTTTTGTCCACAGGACATTTTTAGCAATAATTAGGTTATTCATTGTTTTTATTTTATCTGAAAATCTGTCGCTATTTTTCATATGCATAAGTTTACTTATTTTCAGCCATGTACTTCCCATACCTGAAGGCAAATACTTACCTGTTGGCCTTGGTACTTCCCTGACCATTAGAGAGACGAAGGCTTTTTGTTTGTTTGAATGACCACAATCTAGATGTGAATGTGACTGGCAGTATGTACTGGCCTGTGCATTTATACATACACACTAAAATATTGGAAATTAGATTTTTACTTAGAAATTTACAATTCTACATTAAACAATTAAAACATAGAAAAAAGGTTTGGGCTTTTGTCTTTTAGAGTATCCCTGTGTTGATATAATTTTTGCTCACTTTGTAATATATTTATAGCCATAATATAATGATGTAGCAGTCTTTCCCTTTTTGATTTATGGTTTCTTCTTCTGCCTCTATAAACCCCAACATTGGTGGAGGTGAGTCAGTCTTACTCAGCATGAACCACGAACCAGAAAAATCTCGTTATTAATCGCTGGCAAAACACCCTTTATTCTCTCCAAAAGGGACACACTGGCTTTTGAACCTCAGTCCAGTCTCACCCCTCAGCTGACAATAGTAAGTTACACTTCTCAGTGTAACATTGTGCAGTAGAATGTCTGTCAGGAATTGTGTAGTGGATCCAGCTGATGGCAGGGTGGTACAAGAGGGGAGTCAGAGTCAGAGCTGGGGCTTGTCCCTTCCAGGGGCTGCTCTTGCTGCTTCCACAGCAGCATGGAGAGACAGTGGCCGGCACCCCCAAAGCCTGAGCGCGGCTCTGCGCGATGTTTAGGAAGCAACAGCTCTTCCCACGCAGCTTTGTACTGCAGTAATTTCAAGACAACTTCTGTTGACTGCAAACATTAACATTGCTTCAGCTAGTCTCACATTCTGGTGTGAGTGTCTATCACCATAAAAAGATCCTCTATGTCTGTTTCTTGTCTGTTTTTAAATATGCAGTCGTGCAGTCATGCTGCCCGTTCCTGCTGAGCCTTACACTTAACTGCTTGTAAGTACAGTACTGATATGGCTGTGAAAAAGCACTGAAAATGGCACAGGCTGTGCTCAGGAAATATGCCAGTTTAAACACATTCAATTTGACTTCACTTCTTGTGGAAATTTAATCCCTTAAGTCTTTATTCTTAAATTTCTCAATTTGATTTCTTTCTTTTTTTTATACAGGGTGAAAAAAAGATCAGATTTAATAGGTGCCTTTAAATTAGAACCTCTTTACCTGCAGCATCACCATCAGGAGTCTGGTAATTTTATAATTAAATGAGATTATTATTATTTTGTTTGCACTCTGATATTTAATGGGGAAAAAAAAGGACTTATAATGAAAACAGCAATTCTTAAACTACCCAAGTTGTTTAGGAGGCCGTTTCCATTTTCTGAGCACTCTAGGGAGCTAAGCTCATTAAAGTGCAAATACATGTCTAGTGAGATTTTAGTTAGTTAAAAGCAGTACCAGGAAAGTAATTTCATAAAGCATTATGCATTACTACTTTTGTATTGGGATTTCCCCAGTTGCAGACTTACCACTGATTGATTGCAGAAGTGTTGAGAAAATTCTCATTACCTTTTGGCTGTCAGATAAACGTGTTATTGGGTGTTGTGTAACAAGTCCCCTAACCTGTCTTCCCCAACACATCTTTCTCCAGAATGATTTCAGGATCTGATTTGGTTTTAGAGTTTCTAAGGCCTGTGACTTTTTTTCTTAGTTATTCATGCAAGCTTTGATTCAAATTTTTCAGAAACACGTGTGAGGAAAAAAACACTCCCAGAAACTACAAAGAAGAGGTGAACTGTGTTTGCTGTCTGTGCTCTGCTTTTGAGTGATAGCTTTCTGGGACATTATGCTGTGGCCCTCATGCTCTTAAACAACTGGCTGTAGAGAAAGGCAGAAAGAGCAGACTATCTGTTTGGTACAAAATGCTCATGAAAGCTCTTTGCAAAATGCACACAAAGAACTTAAAAATCTCAGGCTCTGTACAAAGCTCCTTAATGGATTAATGATGGTCCTTGCACATACCTAGCAACTGCAGAGTGGTATTTTCCCTCCTAAAGCCCATTTTTACACATCTGGTTATTAACTGAATAATTGTGAAGAAGGTCACAGCAGTGCAGAGTCAACATGAGGTGGAAGTTCCCTCATAACTTGCTGAAGAGAGTGAATCATCTGTAGATGGACTTCCCATATACTCAACCTCATTGTTTTCCTGGAATTTCTGGTGCTGATCTGTGTTCAGAAGCATATCCTGATATGGCTATGAACTCATTGACATTTAAATTAATACCATCCAGAATTCCACTATTCACTGAAAAGCCCTAGGAAAAATGGATTCATGTACCTTAATCCTGAACTGGCATAAACCTTGCATTTTATTCCTTTCCTCCATTTCCAAGGAATGCAAACATAGAACAGTGCAATAAACAGGAACATGCAGTAATTCTGGAGCTGATGTTCACCCTCTAAAGGCTCAAATTATTAAGAAAAAAGATATACCTTTTTTTTTTTTTTTTTTTGCCTTTTCTAATGGAATATAAAAGTTACAGCAAATACACTTAAGGCACTAGCTTTTACTTAACATACACATTAAAAATATTTATCTTCAGGTGAAAAAATTCCAGCCTTAACTAAAATGAAAATATGTTATTGGGACAACTGATAATGCTGATACAAGAACTTCTGGTCTTACCTGGGTTAAATAACACCTGAAGAAAACCAGACCTTTCTTAAAAACAGGTAGTTTCAGTAAAGCCACCTAGTTGACCTAAAAACTTTGTCACCCAGTTGGAGAAAGAGTTTTTTAGCCTTCATCTTGCCTTTGGAAGTGGAATAGCATGTTAGATGATCTAACATACTGATTTCAAAGGAGATAAACTGATTACTAGCAGTCTAGGGATGCCATTTTTTTTTCTATGCTCCATTCCCATGTGATATCAATTTTCTAAGAAGTTGGACAACACTTTTCAAATGCAAAAGCCTCTGGTTAAACTTCCAACCCACACTTGCTCCTTCAATAAACACAGTCAAATTTGCTACACGAAGGTGCTGCAGTCCCCATTGACTCCTGTGTGATTTATGGGATGTCAGCACTCCTGAAAATACGACTTGCCAAATGGAGGGTCTTGAATTCTCAGTATTCTCAGGTCTGAGAATTCCTATCCTGGTTTACTAAGTAAATGAAGTGGTATTTCTAAATTCACTTATCTCTCACTCAAGAATTTAAATGAGCGGAAAAATATCTCTATCCGTGAGCAATTACTCTTATTAACCATATGGCAATTATATGTGTCCCCAAGGGGAGACTCTTTATTTTGTCATTAATTATAATTTTGTGTGATTTGCATCACCACACCAGAAAGATTATACTAGCTTGCCTGGCAACCCAGGATATAGGTCAAATCCTCATGGCAGTGTTAGAAGAGTGCAGCTTTATACTCTACTGTGAGCACCACATAAGCTCCCACAATGCAATTCCTCCTGGTTAAATACAGATGTAAGACTAAGGCTTGTAATCAAGGAATCAAGCACTAATCATTGATTACATTCTGCTTCACAGCTTGTGAAAGGCGTTGTTGTGGATCATTAGACATAGCCCCTTACAGGAGCGTAGGATTATTTATCTGTCACCAGTTGCTTTACTCTCTTTGCTACCAGTCTTGCAGCTATCAAACAGAAATGGCTGCTACAATGCAGAAGAATGTGAATGTTATCAATTTTCCTCGTTACCAAGCAGAGACAACCATATTCATTTCCAGAAGACCAGAAACAGGTTGATGATTGTTGGTTGTTTTGTGGATTTGGGGTATTTTACCACCTGGAAAACAACATAGTGACAGGTTAAAGAACCTAATGTCCTTCTGTTACAGGGACAGAAGGACATGTTTTTTCCTGTGTTTTGGCTGCAAATGAGAGAACATTGGCAAGAGAGCTTGTAACACAGAAAAAGTTGTTTGGTTTTTTCCCCTGGAAAATATAAAGGCTGAAAATTATGTAAATGGCATATACTGGTCAAATTCAGGAGCTACAGTTCAACCTTCCAGTTAACATTTTAGCAATTCCAGGAACATTTAGCATTTTCCCAAGGAATCCAAGTACATACTCTCCTATGAAGCTTATACTCCAATGCAGAGAAATAAAGCAGAATAAGCTAAACAAATGCTTCCTAGAGAAGTGCTTTAAATATTACATCAGTTTAATGTCTCTTACTAGCTTACAGCAAGTAACTGACTGAGTTCAAGTTTACTTTACTGTGAAATCAGTTGAATTCTTTGATTCAAAGAAAAGGCAGGTGAATCCTGACACTGTGTGCTTACATAAAAGGACAGCTGATAATGCCCTCTGCTTGCCTTCCTGGACTGCTTTGTGGCTTAGTCCATCTGTGTAAGGGCCTTCCACTCCATCAAAAGAAAAACCATAAAAAATTGCAGAATACTATTCTCCAAGCAGGAACAGGTCAAATTCTGAGTCAATTTTCCAGTCACTTACTAGATGTTCTGTAGAATTAGCAACAAATATATGCATGAGTATAAAAGGTGGATTATTTCAAAGAGTGTTACCAGCTCACGAGGGTAAAGGCAATGACATTTCACAGCAGAGAATGAGTTATGAGGTGAGTCTGGGGATTGTGCAAACTGTTTAAACCAAAATTAATAATAGTTATTTTATCTACTGCTTGTTTTCTCTACATGAAGAAAATAAACATAATATTTGATCTGTCATCTCCATAGCATCTGCAGTACAACAGAAAGGAAAATAGTGTTTCATGTGTAAACTGTTTGTTAGTGGCATATTTTGACTAGCTAAGGAACGAAGGTTATTGCAAGCACCTTCATTTAACATGCAGCCAAGTACCCAGCTAGATATTTAGTGCTCCTGTTGACACTGATGATGCAGAAATTTGCAGCAGATGTAAAGGATAGATAAGATACAGCTTTTTCAATAACATTAGAATGATTGAAGTCTTCGGCTGTTGTGATAATGATGCAATGTGAATGTTTTTTCTTTAATTTCCAGGTCTTGTCACAGATTATCGGGTAAGTAGAGTATCAATGTAATTAACACTATTACTTGTCTGTACTGGTATTTTTAGGGCTTTATTTTCCATTACTGCCATAAACTTCCAAACTTTGTGTTTCTTTACAAGAAGGACACAGCTTGCTAAATTTTTTAACAAATAGAAATTTGGGGTTTTTTCTGTTTTTTGAAAAAAAAGTTTAAAGGCAGAAATTGTCTTGCATGTGCAATATCTTTAGATTTAGGCAGTACAAAGAAATTTTCTGAAGTTGTGGGTTTGGTGGTTTATTTCTTTGACATAGTGAATAACACAATTTTAAAAAAATTAAAAGCATCTCTATTTTAATCTTTTACCATGGAAACACTGTTGTTTTGAAATGGAAAATGTGCCTGTCTTTGTAGATGCTAGCCCCACAACTTTAAACGAGCCAATGTACATGAGTTTCTCAGATACTTGTTTTTCTAAAGCCTTTGAGGAGAATTCAGGATGCACAAAGAAAATTTGATTTGCCTCATGACCCTTCCGTTCTGACTCCAACCTCCTTTGCCAATTTTAAGATGAAAATTCTGAGTATTAAATGGCATTAATAAACAGGGATTAATAAACCAGGAATATATATTTCTTCTATTATTTGATCCACCTCCAGCACCTGCCCATAGGATGTGGCAATGTGGGTCACTTCAAAACCATGGCAGAGCATACTTTGTGCTGTGTCACTGCAGTGGTGGCCTCTGACACGGGCTCTTCTTTCTCTCTGGGCTGCAGCACTGGCAAATCCCCCTGGGCAGGAGGTTCCGCTCCCTGAAGCTCTGGTTCGTGCTGAGGATGTACGGGGTCAAGGGGCTGCAGGAGCACATCCGCAAGGTGACCGGGAATGTCCTTCTTGGGTACCCTCTGGTGGGATGGCGAGGGAAGGTGAGCTGCCTGCCTGGCTGCTCTCCATGACTTCTGTGCACATCAGAAGGCACAGGAAGCAATTTGGGGCAGCTCAGTTTGACAAGGGTGCTGCCCGTTTGCCCCATGTAAGGTCAGCATTTCGTATCATGGCCGGAGCAAAGGTGCCATTCATTTTATGCTCATCTTTAGGAAAGAAACATCTCAGAATTTGGACCTTCTACAGTGTGGTACCACAGTTCCCTCTCAAATTAAGCCAGAGCACATAGATGGTTTTACACATGGATATTCATTACTTCTTAATTTTATTAATATGCATGCATTGATAGGATGTTTAGATTATGATTAAGGAATACAGGGACTTATTTGGCATGTCTACCTCTGCTGTTGCTTTTTTCCCTGTCTAAAATATATTTTTGTTAAAAAAAGAATGCGCACAATTTACAGTCTGTTGATACTGTTATAAGCACTAAGTTTATTCTTGATGAAGAAAGGAGGGTTTTTTTAATCACTAAAAACACATGCGGCACCCATCTAAATTATATATATACTTCCTCTGTAGCAGTAAAGTCAAATTCAAGCATACCTTTCCACCTTTATGGAGTTCAGGGAAACCTCTAGTGAGGGGAGATCCATGACTTGGCTCTAAATATTTACAAAAATATCCATTAGCTAAGGGCCTAGCCTAGCATACCAAATTCCTTGCAGACACACATTCTTTTCAGTTTTGGTACTAAACAGAAGAATTCCTAAGAAAAGCTTTGGAAGACATATCAATTGCACGGCCTTTTGTCTGGCTGGTTTCCACAGGTCAGTATTTACATTCAAAAAATTCCCTCTTTCCCTGTTTCCCACATATCTTCCTGCCTGTCCTGCCAAAAGCTGCTTGTCTTCATAGATTCATAGCTGAGGACCAAGCATTGACATTTTCTGTGACAATTCAGTTCAGGAAGGGTAAGCAGATGAATCTTTTCTTAAAGATAATGACTCCAAAGTAAAACCCTTGTATGTTTCCTCGTTTGTAAAGGTGGTTCAGACAGCTAAGATTTCCAAGGACTTGTTGAAATGAGTGTGTTTGGTTTATATTTCTAAGGACTAAATTTTTCTTCAGTACAGATATAAAAATAACATGTGAAAAGACAAGAGGGATAATTAGGTGAAGAATTTTTCTCACTGTATACATCTTGAAATCGGAACCATTAAATTAATTTCTCCTCTTACCTCCTTACCCACTCCTAATGAATGCTGGTTCAGTGGGTTCCAAAGCATCTTAAAATAAACCTAATTTTTATCTCCAGCAAGCCTCTGTTGAACTTAAATTGCAAAAAATAATTGCATTTCATTTGTTCCATAGCAGAATTTAAGGTATCTCTTGTGAGTTTTCAGATATTTTGATAAAATTATACCACTAGCTGGAAAATAAAAATTAAAAATGTGTTTCTTATCCTGTACTTTTTCCCATCTTCTCAGAAATTATCATGAGCTCCAGGTAGATTGTGATGACTTTTCTTTTGGTAGAGTAGTAATGAAGTATCTAAACCACCCTGACATTGGTCTAAATTTTCAAATCTATAGACAAGTTTCCAAATGAAAAACTAATTTGGAATTTAGCTTCACTTGTTAGCTGAATTTCAACATTGCTCATGCCCATGCCTGGCCTTGAGAAGCTGTTTTTTTTTAAACATGTTGTAGCATCTTGCAAATAATTATATTCCCACTGCCGGCCAAGGCAGTCGCAGGCAGTGCCTGCTCCGGGGCTGGTACTGTCTCCTGTGCACTTGGGACTTGTAGCTGGGTTTTAAGGGAAGCTCTGTACATGCCAGAATTATTTCTGGAGATGCATCTCATGATTTGGAGATGCATTTGAGTGGGTGATAGAGTGGACATAGTGGAACGAGAAGAGACCTAGGGACAGTGACAAAGGCAGGTATTGCAACCTTCCAGTGGAGAACTCCAGAGGGCTGGAGCTGGGGAAGCAGGAAGAACTGCTCTCTCTGTCTCTTGTGTTATTGAGGAGCTGCCCCAAGGAAAGGGTGACAGTCAGGCAGAAGCGTGGAGGTTTGAAGCTGCTCCTTGGGCTGGAATCTGGGAAAGGAGGTGCCTAGGTTTGCTCCTAAGTCATGGAAAGCTCTAGGAAGATCTGTGCAGTGTTTATAGGTTTCTAGTTAGGCTTCTTTTGTGCAGCCTGGTGTTACTTACAAAGGGATTTGAGATTTTCAAGTGATGAGCCTCTGACATGATATAGAGGGGAAAAACACTGTAGATCCCTAAGAACCCACTCTATTCCTTGTGTAGTAGCAAGTTTCTGTGAGGGAGACCAAAGACATCTGTAACTATCTCTTCAAAAACTTTTTTTTCTTGGTGTAAACTGTCACAAAAATTATTTTCACCCCCCTTTTATTAGTATATTTTAAGGAATATATGTTTGTTGTGTTTGCAGCCTTAAGGTCTACATCAAAACGACCAGATAACCACTGCAATTTGGCACTTGCTTTAGGAGGGCATTTAGGAAGTAAAATATTCCCAGGAGATGAGAATGTGTGACTTGGATTTAGATTCAGTAACTTTTTTTGTTTTTCAAACATTCCAGTTATGCACTCTTTTCACACACAGCATGTCATATTAATCTATTGCAAAGTATAGGTTTTAAAGCAGTGGTAAAGGGGAGGATAGTCATCTTTGAAGGATGTGGGGAGAGACAAATACAAATTTTGGAGTTAAGTCCTAAAGCCACAGAGGAGATGTAAAAAGAGGGCAAACTCAACAACAACAACAGTCTTCTGGACTGATGCCAACCACTCAGAGTCTGTATAAATGTGAAATCCAAATGGCCCATTTGCAAATGGCTCATTTGCAAACTGCTTGGCCATCTCTTTATTATTCCTTTGTTGGTTTAAGTCCTCTCAAGGGAATCCTCCTTAGGACCACAAGTAATCAGTGTACTGAGGACAAAGAATGCCATTAAAAATTAACAGCAGAGTCCAAGAAGCTGGAACTGTAAAGAACAGCAATACTAGAGATTGAACTGGAGAGTGGCACAGTCCAAGTGGCTGTTAAGAAGACTCTTGTGACAGCATTTCCCTTCAGTGTAGTGGGATGCAGGCTAAAGCAGGCAAAGAAGTGAAATTTATAGGAGAAAAAGAATGAAGTGATCAAGACTAGGGCAGTATGTTTATCTGCATATACACAGTAGCGTACTCTGATCCTTCAGAGAAGCTCCCTGCAATCAAAAGCTATTTTAGCTCTTGAAGGCGTTGCTCAAAAATTATAATTCAGCTTGAACACTTCAATGCAGAAGCATTTAAATTTAAATTTATATTTATATTCATAATTATAGTTATTTACTCACAGACATACATAGGAAAATACAGATTTCTTTAAATAGGGACCACATCTTAGTGCCTCACAAGTTTACTGTTCCTATTACTGATTATGTAAGACATTTCCCTTAATCCAGAATAACCAAATTAATTGGATCCCTTGTTTCCTTTTCTCACTCTTCTGGAGAAGAGCAAAGGTTACGTACCTGAGATAACAGTGACACATAAGAAGCCTCTTTATTTCAAGCTAAATTGCACTGCAAAGACGGGGGCTGTTACTCTGTTCCTATATACCAAGATACTTCAGGACACAAACACAGTCCATGTGATTCCACTCTGAGAACGCACCTGATGGAGGGATTGTTCAAATGGTAGTTTTAGAAACAGTATATCAGTTGGTTTGCTTATGTCCACACTTTTGCTAAATCAAATAACAGCTATAATAGAATAATTTTGAAAAGTTAAATAATATTTGAATGCCAACTTCAAGTTAATGGTGCTGGGAACACAGCTTGACACAGATGTCAAAATCAAAAGCACTTGGGGATTAAGATATCCATAGGTCAGGCTTGGTATGTACACATTCAGTAGAAAACTGAGAACAGCCTGTCAGTCTTTTACTTCTTCTTTCCTATTCTGAGTTTCAGTGCCAGCAGTTTTATTTTCACAGTGTACCTGCCTGTTTTGAAAAGCTGAAGCACTAAAGCCACATGTGTCCTCCTGTTAATTATTGCCATGCTCACATCCAGTGTGGGTACAGCTTTTGGACTTAGAGAGGCATGTGTGGCACCTGAATGTCCTGCAGTTCCACAGAACTTGAACTTCCAGGCATAATAATATTTAACTTCCAGGCTTAATAATATCTAACTTTACTGCTGCAGCAATCAATGTAAGAGCAATTCAGGATAACAGCTTACAGTTCAAAGGTGCAGGGCCTTGGGTAACTGTATTTAGGCAAAGCTATACACGTGAAACTCCACTTAAATCCCCTCTTTCTCTTATTCCAGTTCAGTAAAACCTAAAACGCTTGGTGCCCCCCAGTGTCTTTACCAATTATTGCTGTTTGTTAAGACTTGCTGTGAATATAAGTATTTGCATCCAGACATGAATGCAAAATACTTCCAGAATTTTGGTTTGTGACTTACTTAAAAATTTTCTATTTTCTCTTGCTTTTATTTCTTTCAAATTCCTGAAAAATCATTTAGTTCAAGAAGTGGACATAAGTACCTGCTATAAAATGCACAGCTTGGGTCTGGAGTTTTCTAGTACAAACTCCTCACAGTAAGCCAGATCTTAAATGTTTACTTTATTCAATTATTACCCGGAAAAAATTTGATGAAATTCAGCTGGTGATTACATTCAGCTGGACAGTTGTAAAATTCTTATCTCATTGAGCATGATTTGTTTTATGGCTTTGTTTTCCAAGACATGCTACATGCAGTGCAGAATTTTGTGGAGCCGTGTAAAAGACATGTTTGGTTCAAGCTACAGAACATGAGGATAGGAGGAGACAGTAAAAGACCATTACAACTCCTGTGCCTATTCCACATCTGTTTTTCATGCACTTATTATACATACAAGCATCTGCACGTATGCAGATAGTTCTGGTTGGATTTCACAGCAGTAAATTCATGCTCTGTGTATTAGCAGAACATTCAAATGCCTTGGAAGGGACTGAGGATTTATTGGTCTCATTCCTGACTCAAAGAGCTTTCAGGCTAACTTTAGAGGGAGATGATAAATGGGTGTAACAAACAGCAGAGCAGAAGTGGTAAAAACTGGCTCGTTACATAGGGTACCAGTAAGCCCAATATGAAGGTTTTGAAGAAATATTTTGATTCAATTTAAACTATGTTTTTCTATTTCAAGAAATAAAAAAAACACGAGAAAGCTATGATTAAGATTGCAAAATGTGTTGGCTTTTTTTCTTCTTTTTTTTCCCTTTTCCTGTAGTTTCTGTTTTGCCTTGTCCTTTTGGAAGAAGTTACTGTGAGATGATACATTCCACATTTAACCTTGACCCAAAGTAATATGCTTCATTTTTGTTTAATAGCTGTCCTTGAACTTACAAAAAGTCAAAGTGCAAAAGCATGGGCTTAGTTGTTTATTTTTGTAAAATTATTTGCAGTCCTAAATATATAAAAGCTAAAAAATCTTCAAACATGACTTTTAGGTGTTTCAGATAATTTTTGGTATAGACTGGCTATTGCATGAAGACAAACTATAATTAAAATGGCAGGTTTCTGTTGTTGCCTTACCTTTTTTTGTTTGGTAGTTTGGTTGTAATTTTTGGCTTTTTCTAGAATAGCGAACACTAAGCTAATGATGTAGCTAGTAGGAGGGGGACTGGATAGGGTACTGCAGGTATCTGATGAGGATATGTGTTGGTTTTTTGAAAGTGCTTTTAAATTAATTTTCTCTTTGAAAGAAAGCAAAGAAAAACATGGTATGAGTATGCCAGTATCACTGACTAATGATAATACTTCATAGCTGGATTTAGTATGTCTGTTGGCTTTTTCCTATTTATTTGAATTTTGGTTTCATCTGCTTCAAAATAATTGCTCTAGCTTGGTGCCCAGTGTCATCCTTTTTTTGCCTCAGTAACTTCTCAATAGGTTTGCTGAGATTTGCTGTCCATTTTCTTGATTATACTGCCATCAACTTTTTTTCAACTGAACCTGAGCACCCAGGTCAGAATAGTGAGCAAGTTCTCCCTTTCTTCACAGATTTCTCATATAAAGTGGGCTATTCTAAAAAGTGTATATTTCCAGCTCAATTTTCACTGAAATTGTGACAATTTTTCCCCGGTATATCTGTGCACTTCCCCCTTTCCCTCTAATGACTTCTGGATTCTTTAGCCTTTCCCAGCCTAAACTAACAGTGGTATAAAACCTAAAGGAGAATTATTAAAATTATTTACTCTTAATGTGGTATCATATCAAATTGTGCTGAAGTGTCTCAAGAAGTAGACCAGCACTGCCTAAGACAGACTGAGATCCTAATACAGCAATGGCTCCATATGGTCTCTGGGAGTCATAAACGGGATGGAAGTTAACACAAACAGATGGCAATATGTGAATATTATCACACAGCAGCAGAAGGAACAGAGCAAAGGAATGGAAAATACTTCAGCACACCTTTCTCTTGGTGAATCAAACGTATTCAATGTAGATACTCTTTCTCTTCTCAGCACATTAGGCTGTCACATCAGTTTGAACACTTAGTCCTTCAGGATGAAAGGTTTGAGATCTGTGCTGAGGTTGTTCTGGGACTGGTCTGCTTCCGGCTGAAGGTAAGGCAGCTGAAATCTCCTATTTCTTCTCTCATGGTTTATAGCAACTCCAGAATCTGCAGCTGAATACAGTCTTTGTAGTTGATTACTTTTTAATGAAAGTGAGCTTGTTTAGAACAAAGCAGATGAAAGAAAAAAGCTTTAGACAATTTTGTCCAAATTGGATCAAAAGCTTAAGAGAAATTAAAGCATATTAAGGTATGGAAACGTACAGTCAAGGCAAACAAATGTTTAAACTAGTCATATAAAATGACTTACATTCTATGTGTGAGGAGCTTTGATAAAGATGACTGTTTTAGTATATTTTCCTAGACTACTGAATATGGTGAGTGTGTATTACTTGTTTCTTGTCAAGTTAATTTTTTATGTGTATATATTTAATATTCAGTTTTATTTTAAAAATACTAAGATAAAAATCAGAGCACTAAACACTTTTCTTTAAAGACTGTTTTTTCATCTATAAAATTTAATGGCAAAACTGGGAAAATTGAAGTAAGATGTGTTTAGAACAGGTTACATGGGAGGCCAGCTTTCCTGGTCTGCTTTTTATTGCTGAACATGATCCTTTTGCCCTGTTTGGCCTTTTATTCCCCAAAATCTCTCAAAGCGCCAAGTTCATTGAGGTGGAGACCTTGCCCAACAGAAATTAGAAAACTCATTCTGTATTTAGAAAATAAAAGCTGCAGTAGTTGGGAGAGCTCATTTGTTTCAATCAGCCATTAAAAGGGGATCAGTGTCTCAGTTTAGGTAAAGAAGTCATTTTCTAGAAGAGCTTGCAGCTAAAGCCTCTGCAGAGGACTGGATTGTAACCCTGGATCTGACCACCAAGCAACAATAACAACAACAGCACTAGTGTTTTTTAGTTAACATGATACCTAAATGAGCTTTTCGCTTTTCTGAAGGCATCCAAGCACATCTTTTCTCTTTCTGGGTAGTTTATTTTCAACAAATTCTTTTCTCAGTCATTCTGTTGCCCCAGTTACTTGAGTTTGATGCAAATGGCTGAAGAAGCTAACAAGTAAATAATAAAGTAATGGTGAGTTCACCTGGAATAGGAAAATGGTTTTGTTTGAATTTATAATGTTTAAACCAAAATTTAAAAAGACCCTGTTTTAAGGGATCAGGCATATTACAGATGTAGTTTTTTCGGTCAATGGAAACATGAATATAATCTCTTTCCTAACAATAACATTTAAAAGATGTTGAGGGATATGTTCTGTGGCTTTTATTGCTCAATAACAAAATGCTGGTTGCGGTCTGCTCTCTCACATGGAACAAGCAAACACTAGTTTTGCAGATCCAGACACAGCTGTTAGTCAGTGCTCTACATTTACTTTGAAGGAACAGTTCTGGTGAAATAGAGCATAGCAACACAGGAATTGTCACTTTTGATCAGACCAGTAGCTCATCTACATCTGTTCTCCTGTCCCTCATGATTCAGAGGAAGAAATTGCATCTATAGGGAAAGACAATTTTAAAATAGGAGGTAAATATTGGACCTTTAGCAAAGAAACCTTTGGGACAAGTTGTAGAATAAAGGCCTGATTCCACTGAAAATCAGTGTTAAAAGAGCAGTGTTGATCCAAAAAAAATGAAAAAAAACCAACCTAGCAAGCTTTCAAATTAGGAGGTTTTTATAGCTATTTTAACAACTTTATTTGCTGTTTATATCACTCTTTCAAAAATCTTTCTATCATTTTTATAATTCATAAAATCATATAATTTATATAATTCATACATCTTAGAAGCAGGACATTTGTTACTTTTATGTAGTTGCAGTAGGATTAAGGGTCAGGGGACTTGAACTACATAATACAGGCACAGCTGTAAAAGTATGATTTTTTTCCTTACTTCCTTTGTTCTTGAGAAGCCCTTTGAAATTTTTTTGCTTAGCTGTAACTTTTAATTTTTTTGCCTTTCACACTGTTGAGCAAATGGACTAATTACCTATGACTTTCATATTATAATTATTTCATCAAATATGTCATGCCAAAGGGTTAGTTTTAGGCCTCCTTGTCATGACTGCAGATGAATACAAGCCAAGCTAGTAATTTCTCCAAGGGGGTGAGAATGCTGTCTTCTTGAAGCTCACAGACTCAATCAAAGCTGCCTTCTCAAAGCTCTGGGAGAGGATTAGTCACTACCAACTTCAATTTGACGTGACACCTGAGTGCCACAGCAGCCCTAAGGTGGAGCTGTGAGAGCAGAACAGAAGAAAGATAAATTAATCTTTCTCCCTCCTCCTGCCAACTTAACATCATGTAACTGCTTGTATTGCCTGAAAGTCAGCACTGTGCATTTGATATTAAAAGCAAGGACTGTCATTTTAATAATGCATTGCCTTTGATAAGAAAGCAGGACATCACTGTCAGCAGCGACTGACCTGTAATAGCTGGGGACTTAAAAAACACCAAAGTTGGTCCATTTTCTTAGCTAGGAGCATTTCAGTCACATAAATATCTCCTAGAAGAGTAAGGCTAAGCCATGAATTTTAGGACTACACACCAAATTCATCATAACTTGTGCTAAGACAGAACAAAGTTTTGACATGGGTTCAACTCTTAATTCTGAATATGATCTAAAAATGTGAGAATTATACATTTATCCTTGCTGCCAGTAGGAAACTGTCTGCCTTATGTAAACAGGAAAGTCACAATTGGATTTCGGAGAAGGTGTTTTCTGGTCAGGATGCTGAACAGAGGGATTTGTCCATTTGCAATTCTTTTTCCACAGACCGTGTTCAGTAAGGGGGCACTGCAGTAAAAATGCAGATGCTCCCAGAATCTCTTGCAATTGTGTGTTGCCACCAGTGTAACAGATGGAGTAAAGGTTGCACCCTACCTAAGATACTTCCTCTGAGGCTTCTGTGGTGGGTAACGCCTATAGAATTGAGGCAAATACTTTTTTAGGGTTTCCACTGATCATATGAAACCTAATTATGCCAGGGATATATTACCTTAAACGTTTTTTAATTAAGGGTAAGATTTCATATTCAAAAGAATGTCTCACAGCAGCCATGCTTAAGTGAGGAAAGTTAGCATAGCTCACTGCAAAACTTCCTCCGATGTTTGTTTGATTAGATCCAAGAAGACTGTAATAACACAGATACAATAATGAATGTTTTTAACATAGCTCATGATCTTAGGTCACAAAAAGGCAGTCAACTATCACAAATGCCCCAGTGTGAGCACTGCTTCTAAACTGAAAGTAATCCCTAAATCTCTTTGTGGCCCAAAACTTCTCTCATACATCATTATCTTTTTGCGATCCTTTGATGGCAAAGCACTGAGAGATGAGAAGGTGACTCCTTGTTACTGGTGCTACTTGAGCTTGCCTGCTTGGTGGGATTTACATTTTCCAGAATTGTTTCTGAAACTCATTGCCACATTCATTGAATTACAATGATTTCAGGGCTCAAATGAACTAAATGAGGCACTTCTAAAAAGCATAAATGATGCCAAGAAGATCCATCTGGTCCCGTGCCACCTGCGAGAGAAGTTTGTGCTACGCTTTGCTGTTTGTTCCCGCACAGTGGAATCCACCCACATCAAATTTGCCTGGCAGCACATCTCACAGCTGGCAACTGATCTTCTGAAAACATGGGAGCACAACCACCACCAGCAGTAACAGCAGTGAAGTGTAAGTGGAGATGAGGTAATTAACTGGCTTTCTCTGTGTTGCCAAGTTTTATTTTAGGCGCAGGTGGTAAAGTCAAACTATGAAGGAAGAAAGTACAAAACCTGTTGTTATATAGCCCAGCTGCAGTAGCAAAATCCTTGCCAGTAAGTTGAGTTGTAACCATAGCCATTCCTCCTCTGTACTGTAGTTTCATCTTGCCTGTTTCCAGGATGCACATAGCCAAGGAGAATTGAGCTGTCATTTGCTACCAGTTTATAGTCAAGAGCATTTGTTCAACCAAGTAATGGAAATGGAAGGGTTGGTGCTCCCTCCATTGTCCCCATTCACCTCTAGCACACTCCCCACTTTCTTCATAGAGGTCTTATAACCAATTAATTTAACGTGACTATGACTGCAGAAAGAACCCAAGTTGGGGAAGTTTAGTTCAGGTTCTAAATATGTTGGTATCTGAATAGGCATGCACAAATGTTGCCAGGATTTGGGGTACTATCGTGTCATGATACACTTCCTGCAGAAATTTTGTAAATGAACAAAGGACAAAGAACCTTCAAGACTTCCTTCACTGCATAGCCAGACTTGGGAGAATGAGCATTAACTGATTACTAATCATCCTTCTGGCAAGTTCTCTATTTTCCCCTAAATGATTTGCTTTTAAAACTGCAGTTTTGTCAAATCCAGCAAATAGGTTATGCTGGCTATTGGTTTCCAGACTGATCATTCATAATGAGGTCCCTGAAAAGCTCCTCCTAAAGAGTTTTGCCAAAAGCTATGTGCTACCTGGTATTCTGTATTTCTAATCAAGGTATTATCAGCAGTGATTAATTGAAAATAGTCTGTAAGATATGTTCTGCAAAACTGAGCTGTGATTTGTTTTTATGGCTACCATTTTGATTACTTCATGGTGTAATAAATCTTTGACAAAATGTGCTAAGAAATGTGATGTCAAAAATATCACTTTTAGTTTCTCAAATTAGCTAGCAATTGAGAAAGCAAGTGACAATAAAAATAGGAAGTAAGAGAACAAACCCCTCAAATCAGCTTTGGTGCCCCCATCAGTGGTCTTCTTAGATTAAGAGTGATGAATGGAAAATGAAAATACTGGAAAACCTCTTTCTGAGAAAGTCAAATCATATATCTTTGACACAAAACGTTCATACATCATCCTGTCAAATGCAGGCATAGTGAAGAGCTAAAATGAAAGTTAGAGGTGAAAGTCAGAACAATATCAAGTGACAAAGTACTTTTGCCATTTTAAAAACATAAATTCCAGACAGTTATTTCTGTGTAAATAAGAACAACATAAATAGCTGCTCAAAGAAAGATAAAATGTAGGATTCATTTCTACATATGAAATTGCATTTCAATCTTCTTTTTAATGCTCATATTAACTTCTACAGCCTCTTGAGCAATGTGCACAACTATTCAGCTTTCCTGCTCCATCCCTTTCAGGCATACTTGCTACAGTTGGGAAGTTGCAAGTAGACCAGGGAAAATGGATCAGGACAGTTAATATGGCACATGGTCTGCTCCTACCTCTGTCTTTCCTGATCTCTCATTCCTGGGGTGCAAATTGGGAAGGATTGCTATTTCCATAAGGAACTGATTTCCCAGGTAACAGATGGAGAAAGGGATAACCAATGAATTTGATAAAACCCAGTAACATTTGAGCAGGTGACTGACACAAGATACTACTGTCAGCTACAGTGTCAGAAATTTTGATAGCATCATTCTCTTCAGCAGAACCAGCATGAAATTCAGCTTTTCTGTGGTAGCATAATGCAGTGGAGTGGTAGACTGCTATAATTTTTTTTTTAAACAACCTTATTCAGATCTCATGACCTGGAAAACAATGTTCATCCCTAAAATGTATCTTCCACACTGATACAATTTTACATCTTTTACATTATGAAAACTCTAGAATCTTGAAGCCAAAGAATTACCTGTTCTCTGCGAGACAGACCAGGATTTTGTATGTGAAATACATAACCAGGACTGTCCAGGAAAAAAAAAAAGAAAAGAGAGATCAGATTTGGATCACAGAGTAAATCCAGGATAATTCCACTGAAATGAAATGGAGTTGCTCTGGGCTTAGGTGACTATAATTGAAATGAAAAATCTGACTAATAAGTGTTAGAAAAGAAAGGCCTAACGTAAGGCACCCCTAAACTGAACATAAGAAGATTCTGCTGGAAATCTGCTCCATGGAAACCAGAGCAGAGATGAATGATGCCTGTGTGAGCCTCAAACTGCTGGAAAACTGGGATGCAGGCAGGATGCACACCCAAACATAGAAGAGGTGAAATGACCCCAACAGCCCAGAATTAGACACATATCCCTTTAGACATTTGTGGGAAAATACTGCCAAAACTGACATTCAATTAAATTTTTCAGTATCTAGATATCAGTTTTAGAAGTGGCTGTTTTCCAGATACAGAAACTCCTGTTGGCAAAGAATTAAAGATAAAGGCTAATTTAAAATAAAGATGGAGTAAAAGTTAATTTTTGTTTTTTTTTTTTTTTTTTTAAGTGACATTAGTAAATCTGTCTGATAAACAGCAGTGATGAGACCCTTGGAATTACATTTCCCCCTCTCTAGCCCAGTACTGAAACCTGAAGTTCAGGTTCTGGTTTTTCTGAAATTCTAGAATGAGCCAAATATGTAAACAGTGAAGGCCTTCATGGTATTCAGTCTCTCATACCTTCTTCTCTCCATGTGATAATTCCTTCTTAGACTATTAACATTAGGTCATCTGAAAAGGAAATATGGGCTGTGTAATCAACTCGAGAAGGAACATTTTAAAGAAGATCATAACTGCTGTTTCTGTTCTGTAGCTTTGCAACGTGTCTGTAAGTGAGAAACACTGTATTTATGAATAGTTAATGTTAACCTGGATTTATTGTGCCTTGTGTGCAAAAGCTAATATATCCTGTGCCTGTGATGAATACTGTTTGATATTAAAAGTAATTAGAAAATCCCAGAACTGTACTTTGGTAGAATATCCACATCTCCAGGAAGACTGCAGCTATTAGAGAAGGAGGGAAAAACCTGACTTTTACTTTCAGGAACCTCAATTTATTTTTTTTAAACTAGCAGAGTACAGTCCTTACATTCTTAATGACAGATTATATTTTATTACTGATGGTGAAATAATGAAAATGTATGTATTTATGAAAGTATTGGTAATATATTATACTCTGAACTGCATTATAATTATTAAATTTTTAATTTTTTCTCGCATTTACATACAAGATTCTGCTCATGGCTGTTTTGTTGTTGAAGTACTACTCATCACCCTGTGTGATGAGTAGTAATCACATTGAAGTTGCCTTACAACAGCAGTCTAAACCTTGAGATGTAAAAATTTGAATTGCTCAAAGACAGAAGCAAATGAGAAATAAAACTGAGGATCCTGAAGACCGGGGTGGTTGGTGACGGCAGGTTAAATAACCATCAATGGATAACATCTGTATAGCATATGTAGAGTTTGTATGTTCTAAGTGGAAAATAATCAGAAGTCTAATGCTCTAATTATGATTTGTGAGCTGTTGACTCCCTTTACAATCTGTACCCAAAACCTCCTGAACACACATATAGGTTTTAATTGGCAATATAAATAAACTACAAAACTACAGCTATTGTCTCTTTGTACTTAACTAAGCTTTTCTCGTCTCATTGATGCCAGATGCGCTCTAAGAGGCCCAACTTCCCCACTCTAATGAAGTCAGTGTCCTGATTTTCACCACCAAGGACTTTTTTCAATGTGTCCTTCAAATTACTTTGCAAATGAGAGTTGGCAAATTTTCCTGCAGGAAGTTTCCTCCTCAGCAACAGGAGTCTGAAAAATACCTGGCCATATCCAGAAGGGCCAGTGCTGACCCTTCTGCCAAGTTCTGCACAGTGCTGCAGCTGGATCTGCCACTGGAGCCACCTGCCCAGCTTCAGCTTTGGTTTGTAGTTCCAATGACATCCAGTAGGACAGGGAAGGGGCCCATGACATCAGTCCTGCCTGGCTGCAGTCCCCAAGGCTGCTGTGCTCCCTGCCTCTGTGCAATCCCAGGGAAATCAGGCATGCACTGGGAGAAATTTGATGGCAGCAGCATCACATGCTATTTAAATGCTAGCCCAGCTGGGTCTGAGATGATAGCTTGCACACCAGCACAGACACTTTATTGTGCTGTCTGCACTGATGGCATAACAAGCCTGATGTATAACAAAAACCTGACAGTAACTGCAGGAAAGGTTCCTCACGGGAAATAAAATGTTCACCCACACAGAAGCGTCTCTGTTAATACCAGAGGTGCAACTGCAGCTTAGAGTGCTCATTTGCATCTAGATTGGTGTGCTAATTTGAACGTGGGTTGGTGTGAGCCACATGGGGACTCCACCACCACATTCAGTTCATGGGATACTTCCACGTGGAGCACCATCTTTTGCCCTGTATAGGAGTGTGTCATTCATCTCATCCTTGTCAGAGCTGCTCTCCCAAAAAGGGCTGTGCAGCACCGGTTGTGAATTTCAGGAGTGCTAGAAAGTGTCACTGCCGTGGTGGCTGTGGTGGTCCTGCAGCGGTGCCACAGGGCTAGAGATGAAATAGGTGACCCTGGAGACCAAGTGCTCGTGTGCCTAAGGGCCAGGTACCCACCAGTGGCCGCGCAGTCACCACCAGGGTTAGGGCTGTGCTTGGGCCACAGTCAGTGAACCCACCTCCTGTGGAGCCCGTCCTGCTGGGAGGGCTGCTGCCAGGGACACAGCCCGGGACGCCACTGGCCCGGCCGCCTGTGAGCCCAGCAAAGGACATCCAGAGGGTCTCTGCCAGGAGAGGAACAAACAGCGGGCAGCTGGGGAATGCTGATGGGGTGCCCTGCTGTTTCGGGCAGCCAAAGCCGAGTTTGACACAGGAAGCCACAGCAATTCTGCTCCTTGAATCACCGAACGGAAGGGAAAGACCTCCTCTGCCCCACAGAAATTGCACATCTCCACGTTCCCATTTTCTTCTGCCACTGAAAGTGGCCTGGACAGGCAATAAAAGTGACAGAAACTGTTACATTCTCCAGC